ATTGCAAACTTTGATCGGTTAATGAGAAAGAACACAATGTGCAGGTCATGCTTAGCATTTCCATGGGGAAGATTTCAGAATAACTGGTTGTAAATTAACACTCTGCCATTATGTCCTTGACCTAAATTTTTCAGTGAACACGAATTTGACATCTAATTTAAGTTAAAGTTAGATGTCTGAAAAAAATAAAATATCGATCTTCGTGAATTGAACATAAGAGAAATGTCTTTAATAAGTTTATCGGAGAAGCATGAATATTCTAATCTAGACATTCATACAAGTATCTAGAAGCAATAGTCAGGACCTATAGACGTATAGTACAGGCATAGAATTGATGAAGGATGAGCTTTACACGAGCACTGTAAACAGTCTAAAGCGAATACCTTATTCGGCTTGAGAAAGGACAAAAATCCATTCGGGCATTCAATACTCACGTAATCGTAATATGAAAGTAATTGGTAGACTACTCTATAACGGAAGAAGAATACTAGACCGTGGCCGTTATAATAATAGCCGTATTATCTACTGAATTGCAATGCCTCAACACAAACTATCCGCTATAAAGTGTACTTCTACAACGTAAATACTCATATTCATACATGTATAAAATATAATATCTATCATTTTCAAAAACTTCTGAACCTTAAATACACTACTTGAATGCCAACTGAGAGTAAAATTTTCAAAGAAATTGGATAAAAAGTTCAATTTGTTATGATTTACCACCGTATCGATTCGCAAACTAGATTCGCAGATACGCAAACAACTCGGCTATCATCGCACACCACTTAATAACCATAAGCTCACTACCCGATCACGTGATAACTGTAACAGACAAAGATAATTGAAGGGGTCGGCTCAAAATAACAAAATGTAAAATTTGGATGTCTTTGTTGGTGATATTAACTTCAACGAAATTGGTTATTTCTTGTTTAAACCAAAGGTGTTAGTCAAGTAAGATCATAATTAGTTGTAAATCACACTCTCTATAATAAAAGTCGAAGCAACAACAAAGCTAAAATTGCTATCTCCACAAAGTCCTGTTCAGTTCGAAGCAAACAAAGGGTGGCGTTGTGGAGAAGAATTTACGGTTCAATCAACATGACAATTGTTCGTGACGCTTCAAATAACAGTTAGATTGACAAATATCTTGAATATTACTTACTTTTGAATACATGAGTTCAGTTTTTTGGATGGATTTTATAACAAGACGTTAACATAATTTTGGTAAACAAAATGGCCGCCTCATCACATCGGAGCTGCGCATGCCCCAAAATAGCATTATGTAAATGAGAAGAACCCTGATTGGCTGTCTTACCTACTTTCTTAGCAAAAAAAAAAACGTTTGCCTACTTTGGCCTGTTCAATATTTTTTGTTTGGGAAAGATGTGGATTATGAGTTTACGACTAAAAGCTGGCGTGACGGGCCTGCAGCAAGAACAGTAAAAAAGAAGTTGCATCGAATATTCCACCAAAGGACTTTGGTTTCGACTGTTTATTCGAAGCCACAGAGACTCGCATATCCCTCACTTTTAAAAAGAACTAATGTTACATCCATAGTAAATACGTGCTTTTCCAGACTTTACACATTGGCCTTTTCTGATCACGTGATCATTGTAAAATATGACTCATGGCTATGCTATTGTAATTTTTTCATCGTCTGCTGTTTTGTAGTTAATTATCTCATCAGCCTTTTTTTAAAAAGAAATATATAGCGGTATTAAATTTTCCCTATCACATTAAATTGCTTGGTACCCCTAACCCTATCTTCATCCATCTCAATTTGGTTTACCACAATTTTTTTCCAGACGATTAGGACGATTAGGCCAACATCTAAGATAGAAAATGGACTGGTCCATAATAAATAGGCCTATGAATTGTCACTCTTTTAACTATATATAACAAATTGCCAGCATTTCAAGACCGTTTAAGATATACTTATAATTTTAGTGACAGTTGAATTTGAACTTGCATACCTGTACATCGAAATCAGTATGTAAGCCTCGGTTTGAAACCCTAAATTTTATCAATAAGGCTTGTGTTTATCATGTCAATATTTAGCCACCATACAATTTAACACACTTTTAGAATAGTCCAAGTCAACAAGCTATGTGGTTGAGCTATTTTTAAACTAGAAAATATCGCAATATTGTGCACACGTAATTGCTGGCCTACATAGATCGATCTACTATAGTTTTTGTTAAGTATATAGACACTAGAGAAAACGATGATTGAACGCGCATAATTATTCACGAAGAATAGTATTGACATATAGCTTTTGTGATTTTGTGGATTATAAAGTATTGGCTAGATAGGCAACATTTAAAAGTGATAGTCGGGTGAAAAAGGTTTAAACGTTTTATAAACACATAATGTATAGGCCTGGCTTCTATACAATATAGTTTCATCCCGGAAAAGGAATTTCGAGACTGACATGCTCAAAAGGTTTTATTTACAACTACATTTGTATATTTTTAATATTACAACTTACCTATCAATAAAATCGAGCAATAATTGAACAGCTTCTTCGTCATCACTGCAATTATAATTACGTCTGAACGCTTGCCATCTCATCATTTCTTCACCAATACAAATCGTTTCTGCTTTCTTTTTGGCCCTGTATCCACGCATATAGTGTTTCATCTTACTCTTATTCATAGATTCAGTAACCCTTCTTTGTCGTAAACGTTTCTTAAGGCCCTCCATAATGCTTACAAAGTTCGGTAAAATAAAAATGAAAAATACTGATGCAAAGGTTGATTTTAATTATTTACCCGATTTCGGTACGGAAGAATGTTAAATTATCACTGATTGGTGTATAAAACTTATTGGGCCATTCAAAATACAGCTTTGATAATCCAATGTTATCCTTGAAGCACGCGCTAAGTGGCCTAGCTGTTTACGTAAACATATTAAACTTAGAGCTGTATGTGACAGTTAACGTCTGGAAACTTTCAGCTGATTTTTGACTCATACGTTTGGAAACTTTGTCATATTGCTTTAGTAAATTGTGTTAAAACAAATGTGTTTTGTCATTTCCTCACTAATTACACGTTTACAGGTCATTTTGGTATTATCATTTTAAACATATCATTTTCTACATATCATTTTGGTATTATCATCTCTTAGCAATATGCAAATGAGGTCAAAAGGCGTGGCTTCCAAAAAAAAAAGTTTTAACACACGCTAAAACCTCCCAAGGAAAGATAACTCGGTATTAACCGCTCATCGTCATACATTTTCAGCAAAAAAAAAAACAAACAAACAAACAACAGTAAAGCTCTGCTCTAGAGGTGAGTATACTATAATGTTCTGCATATAATGTTCAAGAGTGACAAGAGACGGCACGTCTACAACATTACTACACTGCGTGGCAAATTCTTAAGGCTATTTACCACGGAAACTTTGCATTAGTGTGTGTGAAAACATTTTTTTTCTGGAAGCCACGCCTTTTGACCTCATTTGCATATTGCTAAGAGAAATGTTGAAAATGATATGTCGAAAATGATAATACCAAAATGATATGTCGAAAATGATATGTTTAAAATGATAATACCAAAATGATATGTTTAAAATGATAATACCAAAATGATACCAAATGATATGTTTAAAATGATAATACCAAAATGATCTGTAAACGTGTAATTAGTGAGGAAATGACAAAACACATTTGTTTTATCACAATCTACTAAAGCAATATGACAAAGTTGACGGTATCATAATAAGTATTTTGACATTCTGAACATTTCAACAATTGATTAGACAAATTAGCATATCATCGTATTCAGACCTAAAACCCCTTCCATACGATAGAGGCTACAGTTTTGATCCGATCTTGATGAAACTTGGTATGCATGTATATATTGATGAGATCTCGGTCAAGTTCTACATTACTAATAATCAGGGTTTGATATGGGTCTTGAATAATTTGTAATTTGTTAATAAACTTCAAAAATACTACAAATGTACAATCTATTTCTATAAATATGCCTTTTCCATATATGGCAAGAGTCTTACGAAATGACGAGTCGTCATTTTGTCATTCAAACGGGTTAATTCTCGACACATGCTATTAAATTCGACGGTGAGTTTATATTACTGATAAGCTTAGCCAAAAAAATTCCCGTACAATTGATCGAACGGATGTTGAATCTGTCCCTGTAAGTTACTACCGGTATCCTTGTTAAAACTGTTTTAATCTTCCTTCTCTTTATTTATATATTATTCATTCATTTATTTATTCATATATCCCATATGAACATGATTATGTGAAATAGGTATTATTCAACCACCATTGATTTAGCCGAGTGACATACTTCATTTAGCAAGTCTCTCTGGTGCTCAAGAGTTCAATATATCGAAAAATTCGAAATGCGAAGACGACACACGTTATAGCATCCAAGTCAGGGTAACATAACTCATATTATTCTTATGTATTAAATAAATGAGACAGCAGTTTAGAAAGTATCGATTTCAAACATATTGTATTATACGTTGCTTATATCTTCAGCCAAACAAAATATCAAGGTATTACAAACTTGATTGCAATAGCCACCTTCTTGCATTTCGGAAGTTTGTAAATACAGCGATTTGATTGGACTGTGTACGCTACCGAATAAAGGGTTATATTGCAATTTTGACGTGATTTATTCCAGTCAACGGCAATAAACTGCAGTGTGTAGCTTACATCGAAACATTATAAATCAAAAGCCTACATGAAAAAACTTCTGAAATATGTATTTAATTATATGTAAACACTTGATCAACCTGAATTTGTTTTAAAAGGGGTGATAAAACGGAGAGTACAAAGCCTTTCGTTAAAGATTCTATGTATCTTGATAATGCCTTGATTAATATCTATATCTACTCTTTGTGAAGGTTTGAATTAAAGAGGGCAAAACAGTAAAGTTTTGATTAATTGATTACAATTTGTGAAAATTATTCATCTGTAACGTTGTTTGCCGTTGTATGGATGTAAGGTAAGGTCAGCAACACAGGTACAATTTTGAGAGAATTTAATGAATTCATATGCCCATTATTATATATTATCAATTGATTAAAACATACACAGTTATGCCAGAGGCCCCCTGGAAGTGAACGGATTTCAGATGGTCTGATATTAATTTTGAGCATTTAGTGAGTGGCAACTGCAAATTGCAATATCGGCAAGTCGGAAAATCGAACGCTTCTAGTGAAAATATGTTCAGATAATTATCTATGCAATTGATCTTTTCTAATTACCAATTAAACTTGGTCATGAATTGTGGAATTGAGCAATCAATCCATGTGTATCAAAGAAATCTATATTTTAAATCCAGATTCAGCATAAACTCAAAGCAACAGATCTGTTCTGTGAAATCTTACGACAAAGTGTCAACTAAAATGTGATGGAGAATTGTTATTAAAAGTTATTCAAAATGTTGAGTTCTGTTCAATATGTTCATCAATGTTAAATCAGACAAAATTTGTTTTCAATTGAGACGGAGATATCCATGGATATAAAAGATTGCCATAAAATATTTTTGATAAAAACATTGACAGCTCGAAATTGTTCAATTCGTCTTCAGTATTTGATTTCAGAACATCAAATAACGATCTTAATGGTAAATGTGAAGCCTGAAATAGATGAAAAAGCAACATGAAAGAATTATGATGCGTAACTGACAATAATAATATATTTTCACTCTTATAATAGTGCTCAATTCATCAATTGTAGAGCGATATAGAAATATTAGAACAGAACTTGAATCATGTTGTTACTCAGAGATTCACCGAAGATCGCATAGAAATTGCGTAACAAACATGATTCAAGTTGTTTTAATATTTCTAATACAAGGAAACGTAACTTGGCTCTATTAAAAATAAACACATCAAGGGGGGTAACTACAGAAATTAAATGATAGCGAGACCACATCAGTTTACTGATTATCTCACAGCAGACTGCGATTTACTTGATTTACCTGTAAGGTGACTAGAAGATAGTTTTTATTTGCTTTTTCAGGCACCACATCGAATAAAACATCACCTGGAAAATAGAAAAGATGAAACTTAACTTGTATGAATCATTGTTTGTGACCAAAGAGTAACAAAATTAAGTTTCAACAGGAATATGACACTGAATCACGTTTTTATTCTCTTCTATTCATACATTCAAAGTCTTAAAGTTGTAAGAATTTAGATTTACCACTGCCTTTAATGCCAAACATAGTACTGCCAAAAATGTCCAAATTTAAAATTCTGAGAATTTAACTATTTAATTGTGTCTCAATAAACTTGTAGGTTCTAAATTGGGCATCTCACCTGCTACAATGTTAGATTTGATCAACCAGCCAGCTATGGAAAAGATCTGTACTGTGTTGATAAGATTGACCAGCCAAGATAGTATTCCTTGCACTCCCAGTATTATAATGCGAAACTGAAATTAACAAATCTAATTTAAGACATTAGGATTATAAGAATGACATGCATTCTGAACACTGTTTTCTTGTTATATCAGGATTATATGTATAGCTAGTCATATTGATTAACCATACCAGTCTTAATCTGTTTTATTCAAACCATTGGTTATACTGTTTTTATTTTGAATTTCTGTCAAACTAGAGAATAATTAGTCACTTACTAAAACAAATACTGTATAATATAATAAAATTGTTGGTAATAAAAACAATAAAATAGTAAATATAAGAGTTCCAAAAAATAACTGATCAATATCATAGGCTGCTGTATCAACACGTTCTCTTAGTACATTCCATTTTTTACCACGAAATAATCGCCATAGGGCTGCTAATGTTGATACCTCCAAATTGTAGACTCTAAAATAAAGAATAATAATTTTTTAAATTACAATAAGCTCAAAGTGAAATCTGGAATTTGCATATTAATAAATACTACCTTTAATTAGTCAGCAAAATATATATCAAATATACATGTCCATTGTTCATAAAATAAGATTGTATAAACTGATATAATGCGAAACATAATATTTTAATGATAAAATTCATGGATTTCATTCAAAATATAATATAGACCTTCGTATATTGCATTAATGATCAAATTAAAAGATAAGCAGAAGAAGTAATAATGAAAATGAACGTACCTTGCTGCATAGACATAAAAACAATAAATATGTATAGTTAATAAGAATAAAAGATCTTGTAATAAACTGATTTGAAATGATAAACCCAGTATACTGATTGGTAATGATAAATATACTATCCATGATAATAATGGTTGTATTAGTTGCACATATCCTGTAATATAAAAGGAACACATTATGTTATATATATACTCATACATATAGTCATAAAATATATCTTTTTGTTGACCAACAGGACATTTTCCCATTACTTACTCATTACAAAGCTGTCAACAATGACTCTTTTTTAAGGGATTGGAAGAGGTTGAAGTATTTTACGATTTCTTTTTTGCAAAGATCCTTAAATATTGCAGCTTTTGTGATAGGGATGTCAAAAATACTACATTTTAATGGAAATGCAAGAATCACAGGCACCAGACTGAAACGTGAAATGGTGCATATCGCTGCTGTACATATATAAAACCTCTTTACAATCCCTTAAAAACAAAATAACCATAGATTTCAAGTTGGACACACATTACAATGTATCATAAAAAATACCTTACCTGTCCAAATATAAACATGATATAAAAAAAACTGTCCTAAAAACTGTGTTAGAAGATAGTTGAGCTTTAATCCAGCTGGTGCTCCCATTAACAAATTAATCAATTCAGTTAACTTGGTTGCAATATCCTACAATTATACATCACAATAATGTAATAAGTAATGTAATTTTTTTATAATAAAAGTGATTGACTTCAATTTGACAGTTTTCTATAGCTATGAGCATCCATTTTAGATATTTGGAGAACTATTTTCTAAGATTTTCACAGTTATAATTATATGAAAGTGAAAAGCATTTTATATTTGCATTTCTTTGCCTTTATGATGCTCAATTATTTGGCTTTTTCTAAATAAAATCAGGAATCCTACAATAACCTTTTTGAAGGGGCAAATCTAATTAACTTACACTTGTCCAATAAACCGTGAACACCAAGAGTTGATTATGAACATCATAATACCAAAATAATAATAGAAATAACACACCAAATACACAATCTGATATCTGACTCCATATTCTATTCTGACATCTACAAAATAAATCAATTGTAAATCATGTCAAGGTGGTCTCAGACTTTGTTCTGTGTATATCCAAAAGTTTTAGAACTTATAAAGCAGATAGATAAAATATTGCAATAAGAAATATTCCATGAAAATTTCAAAATACTAGTATACATTACTTATGTTAATCAATTGTTACCTTAATTTCTCTAAAGGATTCAGCTGATTATAATTTTTTACAGATATAATAAAATCCATTCTTTCATAAAGCTGTGATAAACAAGCAACATTCTGTAGATATTTATGTAACCAGGGACTTCTGAAATGAAGATAAAATATAACATTATACAATACCAGTATAATACTCATTAATTTTGTTCATTCAAACTAATGCATTTTTGATGAAATTCAAGCTTAATAACAAATAATATACTTCATAAAAAGTACCAGTATTTGACTTACTTTTTTAATAAATACTTTGATGCACCGACAAACAAATCAGATAGAAATATAACACCAGTTAGTTTTAGACATAACAATATCACAGAAAATATCACATGGAATATACAGGATAACAGATTCGGCTTTGGTTTAGGAATGTAGGCGAGAGACTTATAAACATGTTGTAAAACAGAGCTTCCTTCTTTAATTTGATTTTCAATTGCTTTCTGCATAAAAATATAAGATTGTTGAAAATCTGATGGACTGTATAAAACACATGTACAATCTACTGGGTCGTTATGAATAAGTAATTCACATTTAATAGAATCATCATTACAAGTTGATAATTTTAATTCAACACCTATATCACTTAATTCTAGTAGTGTCAAGTCTGTGACATTTTCCCTGTTTAATGATTTCCATGTTCCAACTAGTTTAAGGTCATTTGGATTTATTTTTCTTGATTGTTTTAGAACTAGAACACAGATTGAATTATTTACATTGTTCACTGTTCCATATAGATAACCATTAGCATTATCATCCACTAGTTTATGATTTATAAAAACTGTCCAACTATCATTGCCTCTTCCTGTATTTGATAAACCCTCCATCTGAAAGTAAGTTAATAGTTAATAATTACTGGTAGAAACGTTAAAACTACAAATATACAGTCAAGTAACTAATTTTGTGCTAACCTATTTTTTGTGCATATCTGGAAAAGATTACTAATTTACATGCGCGACCTCATGTGACCTAGGCATTTGTTTGTTTTGATAAACATGAGTTGTCTGTACAATGTCAGCTAATAGAATGAATCCAGTAGTATCATGTATTAATGTATACTTTGATATAATCAAAATGGCAGATTTCAGTTATTACCAATTATCACAATTTTTTATAGGCCGAATTTCCTTATAATCCCAAGCTGTAATCGGAATTCCAAGCGTCATTTTCTAGAATATATTCCAGTGTACAACATCAGACAAACTAGCAGATTTTGTGTCAGCAGAAAAATCCTATGGAACACAATGTGGGCCATATTCTTATGTTGTTTCAATGACTTTTAGTAATAAATCACTCTAATCTTATTTTGTCCGTCAATATATATTTTTAATGTTTGAAGGAAATTCATTAGTTATAATGAATTGATATAAAAGATAAATACATGTACTCAGAAATGATATTTATACCACTAAACAACGTGTTTTTCCTGACTATAGATCAAACATTGTACACGAAAGTAGGCGACACATTTTGCCGCCGTTGTCGAGTTGGTTAATCATGAAATATGGGTCAAAGTGAGAGATTCATAAAGAAAAGATGATAAAAAATGAAACAGTAAGAATATGGCCCATATTGTGTTCCATAGAATTTTTCTGCTGACACGGAATCTGCTAGTTGATCACGTGGCTTCATTCGTAGGAAAACATTCTAGCAGACGACACTTGGAATTCCGATTACAGCTACGGATTATAAGGAAATTTGGCTGATAAAAAATTGCGACGTTTGGTAATAACTGAAATCCGCCATTTTGTATTTGTCAAAGTATACATTAATACATTTTACCTTGCTTGAAACTACTGGAATCATTCTACTAGCTGATATTGTACAGATAACACGTGTTTATCAAAACAAGCAAATGCGGAGGTCACGAAAGGTCGCAAATGTAAATTATTAACCATTTCCGGAGATGCACGAAAAATAGGTTAGCACGAAATTAGATTATTTGACTGTATAATATTTCCAAATGTAAACACTTTTATCATATCACACCCACCTTAGTAAACTTAGTTGTCAAATATATCGTCTTTCTTTCTACCGGAAGATTAGGTTGTATAAAAGATTTTGAAGATGACAACTTTTATAAGTAGAAATATTGCTCACAATATCCCAATAGTATTGAAATCAACCAGCATCGATTTCATCATAAAAGACTTCGACATCTACTTTGTTTTTTCTATAGACGAGATTGGCATGCCTTCATATCAACTTTACGTCTGGAAGAAAAAATACCATAGACTATAGACATAGAAAATCTGGATTTGGAGTACCAGTAGGACTATATTATTTTATTGTGTGAGGTATTAATTCAATTTCTCGAAGGAAGAGTCTTTATTGAATATTTATTTGTGAATAATATTGTGAAAGAATGGCTTGTATTAGTAGCCTGCATAATTTAAACAATAAAAATTGAAATCTGCTAGTTGATCAGTCTATTAACAAGTTTTATACCACCCGAAGCTGTCGGGCTGTATCAACAAAAAGTCCTTAATGAAAACCTGCATTACACATTATATACATAATCGTATAATATAGTGTTCGTATTAAAAACGCACACGATGAAGTTTTAACAGGCCTGCCTGCAAAGTCAAGAAAAGTAAAACATACCTTCTTACTAATAACACTAAGCTATTCTTAGTTGTTTTTTTTTTTACATGAGGTAGATGTAGTTTGCCGTCTTGCCTAAAACATTATTAGAAGTAGGCCTACCAGTATTCTCTTTGCAAAGCGTTGCCCGTCTTCATTAGCCCACATGGTGCTGAAAAGTAGGACGTAAAACTCCATTCATTCATTTCATTTCATTTCTATAAATGTTAACCAAAAAAGTCTGAAATTTTGGCTGAAAATTTTCCTGTTTAAAATCTAATTTGGAGACAAAGGCCAAACATGCGCTCATACTTCATAGTAATATTTTTATTAATACAATGACTAACAGTAGTTTACAATTTGGAGGCTGCTATTCAAAATCTCATAAAAATAATGCAAAAAAATGAGAAACTTAAAAAACATTTTTTTTACTTTGCTCAGACAATAGGTCTAGTAGTCCAGTAATAGGTAGTACATTTTTACAGGGAAACTCTAAATGTGTTGGCTATCTAGAAATGATTTTATTTTTCAAAAATTTCAAATATAGATTTGTAAGAAAGTTTTTTGTTATCCATTTTAATGTCAGCTACGGGATATTTAGTAGATCTGAGCTTCAAGTTTTATTATTACAGTTGCTGACTTTCTGAGAGTAGAATTATGAATCCATTAGAAATAATCCTGGTGACATCTGGTACAAGAGGGGAACGACTTTTGTTTAGATATCCATATGAATCAGATGAAAAGAATTTGAAATGTGCTAGAGGTAATGAATAGTGTTGATTATATTCAATCAGTTGATGAAACTAAATTCAAAAATACTTTTTGACCTTTTTTAATCGGTCACACATTGGAATTCTGGTAGTAATTTTCCACTAATTGAGCTAATTATGAATTAATTATGGACATTTGAAACAAACTGGTATTTTTTCAAGTCATTAGAACACCTCTACTTTCTATTGATATAGGTATTAGCATTTTCATTTTCATAAATGAAAATAAGGGAACCCATATTTAAATGATTTTCTTTTTTAGGTAGAAATAGAAACCCATATGCAATCAAAATAGCTGAGGATATTAAAAGTCATAGGTAAAATTATTTAATTTGTTATAGGTAAAATTATTCTTATTACCTTGTTGATATTATGTTATGTAAGCCTGAGAATGTTCTATAAAAGTAAAAAGCATTAGCTATAAATTGTCATTAACTTTATACAAAATACATAGTGGATTCCAAATATTATTGATATATATTATTAAAAGAAATTCTCCAAAAAATATAATGTGTTATTTTCTGAAACAAGTTGCCAAGTAGAAAAATTTTTGTCAGAATCATGATAATGAAAATATATGATCTAACAAGCAAATTGGCATATCTGTAACTAAAGTTACTGGAATTGAAAAGGATGTACATACCCTCTTTTATATAATACAATCTACTGTTCTATATTTAATTCTTCTGTAAAAGGTATGGAGAAGATATTACAGCTACAGATAAATATAAGTAAGTATGAACTAGAAAGTTTAATCACTCAAATATATTGATAAGCCTAGATATCATTCAAAATATTAACACTTTATTGTAAGTGGTATTGAAAACAGAGTGTTCTTCAACTTCTATTTTTATCTATGCCAAATTATGTTTGTTGGTTTTGAATTGGTATTTAATAGTCTAAACATTGAGCTACAACAAAATAAATAATAATATTTTGTATAATTGTGTTTTCTAGAATCAGCAACAGTACACTAGCTACTTTACTTGCTGCCAAGTCTTCTCTATGTAACCAGAATTTTGATTTGAAAATTGATGATGTTCGATTTATTGGGTTTCCAGTTATATTACATGTTCCTGTTACTACTGGTAAACAAACTGGTCACAGAATAACTACTGTTAATGTTGTCTTTACTTTAAAGGTCAGTTCTGCTTAATAGAAATTACACTACAATTTTATGTTTTATGAATACTAACTATGTTAACTGTAACGTCACCTATTTTTTAGCAGATCTCTTTATTTGTGACCTCTGCCAGTGCTTTACATGGGAGTTTTTATGAACTTCTCCACTCTTAATACGGAATGATAGTGGTAATAATATCTTGGTTGTGGCATTGTCAACTCTCTACACCTTCATGGTATGTTTTTGTTGCATTGTAGAATCTTATTTTGAAAGTGTTACATGATACTCTAGTAATACATCTATTATATACACTTCAATTTAAATGGCACTTTGGTGACATGAAAATGAATTGCTTTTTTTGACATAGATAAGGGGAATTGTGAATCATTATATTTTACAGGCTAATATTGAAAACTGTATAAAAGAAAGATATTATACAATATGTAAACAGATTACTATAGCTATACAACATGAAGAAAGAAGATGTCAGTACCTATCTATACAAGCTAAAATAATGATGGGTGCCCAGGATGAAATGACTACAAGAACGGAAGGTATATTTTTCAAAAATTATTCTCTTTAACTGTAAAGTATTGTTATTGTTTTTATTATCAGTTCACATTCTTAAAGTATAAATATAATATGGTAGATTAAGTTACCTAATCATGAGATGAGCTCAATATTTTTTGACCTACTTCATACACTAATGATGCCAAAATTGTCCTGTTCAGTTTTTTGTGGCCTGCACTTGTATAATAACTGGTCCATATATTGTGAATATGGCTGATTGGCTATATTTGATAGGCAAATTGAAGTTCTAGTAAAACTGCTTAAAACATTCAAAAATAAATACATTGATTCACAATTGAAATACATTTTGGTTTTGTTTCTTTTATTTCTTTGTAGACTGTATAGAATCACCCTATAAACTTATTCTGCAGAAAAGTCAGTTAGCTAGTGAATTGAAACAAGTATATGAAAGGTAGGATGAGAATGGAATAATTAATTTGTTTTTATCTACAAATCAATTGTTATGGTCTTGCAGCTCTGCCATAAATACTAATTGCATGCTATTTTACCTGAAATTTTAGCATTACAGTTAGTACAATACATAACTGTCAATATAAGTTCTATATATCACCAAATTTGTATGATTATTTTGTAGTTTATGTAAATCTGGTGCAATATTATTGTATATCAATAATTGGATAGAAATTAATGTTTGTTTACCAAGTATATATAAAGATTTTCTACCTTCGTCTTCAGCTAAAAATAATGTGAGTATTTCTACACAATAAAATAGTGACTCTTCCAACACAGTAGTCATAATCTATCATAGATAGAGGCTCTCTATTGATTACTAAATATGTTTTATAATTTTTATGATGTTCACTAGAGCTCTAGTATCTGGACTGAATCATTTGTTCCATAGATTTTCTCCATAAATTTTTTTTAGCTTTTAAGAGATCAAATTAATCAATCTTTAAAAGTACAATTGATAAACTTGATAACTATTTTTTGCAGTATGCAGCAATAGAGAAATGTCTATCATCTTTACGGTAAGTAGATTTAAAACTTCAGTCCAGGTTTCAAGTCAATTTTTATATGCCCACATTATAATGTGTAAACATTCAAAAAAAAAATAATTTGCATAGGAAAACTTATTAGTCCTAAAGTCCTTGGTTCATGAACACAGAGGCCCCCTTCCTCAGAGACAGACACACATGAAATGTCAGTTGAAGTTCCATGATGTCACTTTCCATGGTAGGAGCTAAGTGACATTTCAACATTCCTCTCATGGTAAAAAATAATGATCGTTCAATAGCCTAAACTAAGAAGGTTTAAGAAAGTGTTCAATAAAATAAAAGACACACAAACTATTTCTCAATGGTCCATTTTTTACGCCCACATGGAAATGTGGACGTATATTGTCGTGGCCCCTGTCCGTCCGTCCATCCATCCATCCAATTTGTTGTATACTCGATAGAGGCTACAGCTTTTATCTGATCTTGATGAAACTTGGTATGCATGTATGTATTGATAAGATCTCGGTCAAATTCGAAATTTGTAATAAGAGTTATCGCCCTTGACTTAGCAAAAACACTTTAATTTTGGCTTGTATGCATGCTAAAGGCTAAAATTTTTATCTGATCTTGATGAAACTTAGTATGCTTGTAGATATTTGACTCAGTCAAATTCGATATTGGTAATAATCGGATGAACAATTTCAGAGTTATTGCCCTTGACTTAGTAAAAATGAGTTAAATTTGCCTTGTATGCCCGATAAAGGCTACTAATTTGATCCCATCTTGATGAAACTTAGTATACATGTATATAATGATGAGATTTTGGACAAGTTTGAAATTGGTAATAATTGGATGATCTATTTCAGGATTATATTGCCCTTGACTTAGTAAAAAGCAGGTCAAATTTGGCTTGTAGGCATTCTATAGACTACAGTTTTTATCAGATCTTGATGAAACTTGAAAATATATTGATGAGATCTCGGTCAAGTTTGAATTTGGTCTTAATCGGATGAATGGTTTTGGAGTTATTGCCCTTGACTTAGTAAAAACGCTTCAAATTTGGCTTGTAATCATGATACAGGTGCAGTTTTTATCTGATCTCAATGAAACTTGGTATGCATGTATATATTGATGATCTCAATGACATTCGAAATTGGTAACAATTGGATGAACTGTTTTGGAGTTAGTGCCCTTGAATTGATTCAATGTGTCTAGTTTAACTTGTAAGCATGATAGAGACTACATATTTTATCCGATCTTGATGAAACTTGGTATGAGATCTCAGTAAAGCTTGAAATTAGTAAAAATAGGATGATTGGTTTAAACCATATTAAACCACTACAGACTTTGTTATCAAAGTGAGTGTATCTTGCTTGTTTTATTAATATTCTTATATCTGATTTTGGTTAAAACATTTTTATGTAAGACTTGTTTCTCTATTGTTGGTTATTCCAGGCCCTATCATGGTATGTTGTTGAAGGAAGATGAACAAGTTCTGTTTGATTCATTACCAATGGATAGTACACCTGCACTAACCAGGCTAATTAAAGTTGCTAGTCCCTTAAAAAATATACAAACATTAGCACTGGATGCAGATCTCAGTCTTTCTCAGGTAAATTTACTGATTTACATGCAGTGCAAAATATTTGTTTTTCTTTGCGGTCAGAATGGTGTTTTGAAATATAAATCTTCAAGTAACCAAATTTTGATAAACAAAGAGAGAAAGACTATTTCATATGAAAGTACGTATGGTTTTTACTTGAAAATAACACACATAAATGTACTTCACAACTTTTAAAAAGGATCTTATATTTCAACAATGCATTAAACATTAACATTAAATGTGTTTTAAAGGCTTGGTTGAAATATTAAGACTTTTTTAAAAATTCCACCAAATGAGTCAAGGAAGAGATTTGAAATGGTTGTGAACTATATTCGTGTGTGTTATTCCATGTTAGAATCATGTAGTTTCCTATAAGACTATTGATAACAAGAATAACAGGTTGGAATAATGAGGAATGACTGAATCAAGGTCATCAGACTTTATATTCCAACCAAGATTAGAACCCATAACCATCATTTGTTTGTTTGACATAACCAAGAACATGATGTCATTCCCATGCTCTAACCTTTGCTACATTCTGACCTGAAAAACATAATGAGATATTAAATTTCACAAAGGTAAACATCATATGCTGAGAGAAATATATCTCTTTCACAAACTGCTTTCAATGGTTTATTGGCAGGTATTTCAACTGGTATGTCATTTAGTATATTGGGCTAAAGCTGTAATAATTTATCCACTATGTGAAATGAATACCTATATTATATCACCACATGCTAATCTATTTGTGTAAGTTTAAAATTTTATCCTTGTCAGTATGGGTAAAACATCATAAATGATACATGTTTTCCCTTTCATGTACAAATAATAGCATTTGTAGCTTAAATTATATAAAATTATGAAAGGGGGAAAGATATGAGTCAGATACTTAAAGGTACATTCCACTTTTTTGTAGGTCGAAATTTTTTGGCTCAAATTTATGAAAACTGTAGACCTTTAACATATTTGAAACTTTAAACTAAAAAAATCCAGCCGTTTGTTATGCTTTTTGGAAGCACTTAGAAAACTAATGTAAGAATTTGAGTAAAATAAACATCTAGTTGTAAAGAAACGTGTCTCGGATTCTAATGGTTTCAACTAAATATAACTCCAAAACTAGATTAAACTGCTTAATTAACAATTAGTACTCCCATTTTTTATTAACCCTTCACAAATTCACTTTGACCAAGATACATAGATATAAATAGCATATTTCAGAAATATTTTCAGGTATGATATACAAGGCTTTTCATTATGAAAACATTTTACAAAAAAAGTAGAATGTCCTTTTAAGACATAAGAACTTAACCCTTTCAACCCTAGCGGCCAGTTTATCGGCGACACACTAACGCAATATATGTCCGAGCAGCCGATATACTGACTGTTGCTAAGTAACGTCATACGCTTTTACTTTTATTACTTGGAGTTCAGGGTATATGACGTTGTATTTCATTTACACTCAGGGTTCAAAGGGTTAGTTAAACTAGTAGTTAGTGACATCTCATAATCGCTTAGCTTATTATTATTTTAGGAATTCTCCCCTAGTTCAAGAATTTGTTGTAGAATATCCAGGTAAAAATCTTCATGTAGAATTAGCTGAATTTTCATTACCAAAACAGTTACATGATGGTAGTATATTTGAGCAGAAATATCAACAGGTACTAGTTTATGTTTGCAGCATTCAAGACATTACCTCAAGAGATATTTATTTTAATGTCAAACTTTATCAGACAATGTAGTGTCTATTATTTATACCCACCAATCAAATGTGTGTTGTTTTTTTTTTACCATATTTGGAATTACAAAAACTGTTAGTAGGTGTTAGATGGGATATCTAAACAGTGCAAATAGAAACAAGAGATATTACAGATACACATACAATAGCTGAATCCCTTTAATCTAATTATACATATTTCAAAATAATCATCCAAACTCCATATAGAATATAAAATCAAAGATTGTATTTAAAGGCTACTAACAACCAACAACCAACTAACACTCTTAAGAGTGTCTAATAAACGACTAGGTAAGAAACTTTAAGAATCTAGGTTGATCTATATTGAAATGTTTTGATATAATAGAATCATAGAATAAAGATGGTAATATGGTTATTACAACATCAGTTATTAATGCAACTACATCAATATATATCAATAATACCACCAACAACAGATGATGATATTTTATACCACCTAGTACCACATGATTTAGTTAAATCACCAAGTTTTACAGATATAACTTCAGGTATGTTATTGCAGCTTAATACAATCCAATAATATGAATTGTTTCTCTCTCAAACCTTAAATTTTTTACTTCAAAATCAAAAAAATGTTCATTTACCACTGTTGTGCAAGTTACTGAGGGTATCCTGACCTTCCAGGAACACCTGATGCCACAATAAAAAAGTTTTGTCAAATTTTGATATACATCAATCAGAGAGGCCTGCTAATAATTTCTTGTATTCTTGTATTCAGGAATGAGATTTAATTATGTCAAATATTCAATAAATTTGTGTGTAATTCTTGCCACATCCTTGCCAATAATTGAATGCTTATTATATATTACCGTATATTTCCGTGTATAATGCGCAGGTTTTTACCCTGAAAAGGGATACACACAGAAGGGGTGCGCACTATACATGGTTAAATAATTTTTGAGTTTTTTTCCCCTTCGAAAATACCGCGAATCGATATTGAGGATCCGCCAGTTTGTCTTCCTTCAATGCCATGTTGTTATGTTTTTAAGATCGTTTCGGGAGTTATAACAACTTAATAGACTGTAATGTAGTTTGTAAAAACCAATACTTTTAATACTCTCACAATAGCTTACAGAATCCATGTGGTATTTTCGCGCCTATATAATTGAGCGGGAAAAAGTTCTGAACACAGAATTGAGGACAGCAGTAGAGTTTTTGTAAATCTATTATTCACAGTAATCCAAACCTACTTGAATAAACTTATTATAAGATTAGGTGTCTAAAAACAACAAGATCGAGTTAATTTTAACATCACTGATTAATGTTATAAGTACATTCTGAATGGAAACAAGAGGCATTGAGATCAAAGAAAGATAAAAGAATACTATGATCACCTGTTGTCCACGTGATCAGTGAATGGTGAATTGGATGGATCACAGGCACTTGTTTCTATCCATATTAAGTTCTGCTTAATATAACAGACATTGCCATTGAGTACCAATGATAGAAACAAGTGCCTGTGTTCTTACTTGATCTGGACCATATTTATTGACGACATTCCTTTGAGAATTTTAACACTTCATCATTTGAAGATAGAAATACAACACTTTTTTTAACGGAATCGTAATAAAAAGAAGACAGAAATATTAATTTATGTAAATACAGTTTTTGATTATTTAACATATAAATATATCTAAACCTCAATCATTTAATGGTTAGTTTTGTCTAATGAATCGAGATTCATACGTGTGTGACTTAGAAATCAAATAAGAATGTGAGGACGATCGTATGTATTCTAACCCTTGCTATATATATCATTGAGCTCTGTCAATCTTTGAGTTTGAGTTAACCTACCGTAATTGAATAATGCGATACCTTCAATGAAAGTGTGTTTTTATATTTATCGATTTGTTTAGCCTTTTAAAACAACATCACTTCTCAATTCTCTATAGGCCAACGACTCAATTGTACAAACAAATGCGTTTATATTATAGATGACATCGTGTCAAATATACGGGATGATAATGGTGTCTGTGATGTGCCAAGTCTGACTTCAAATTTTTCGTAAACAAGGGGTGCGCATTATATACGGGTAAATGGATTTTACCCGATTTTAATGGGAAAAGGAGGGGATGCGCATTATATTCGGAAATATACGGTATATCTTATATTGTCACCTTCCTTCCATTTATTACATTCAGATTATATGGTTTCTGAAGATAGTAAGTTACAGTGGAATTCCTCAGTGATGTCAGAACTGACACCAGAAATAAGAAGGGCTATTAAAATGTCACCGTCAGCTAGTAATACTGAGGATCTCAATTTCTTTTTAAGGTACTTACTGCTTATTCTTTTAAAGTCCACTTTTTTTGATCATTTGAAATAATTCAAAAAATAATATTTAACAGATTTGAAACAGTCATTTAAATATGGATGTGTTCTTTTTCAGATTATGTCCTTATTTTAATGGTAATTGTCATATAGAAGAAATTATGTTTTATGAGAATTTATCACGGTCACAAATAACAACTGTACTAGATAAATTTAAAGATATATTATTACTATGTACTCATGAAGATCCTGCTACAACTTTCTTTATATAAATTATTAATAAGTAATTGACATACTGTGATTGAAAGTAAAATGTCAGAATGTGTGGAATTATGACTCTTTATTTGTATTGGGAGCTGTACAGATATGAAAAACTGAATTGTAAGCTTGACATATCTGTTAATTACCAAATGTAATGGAAATAGCATGTTATGTTCTGTACAGATAAAATAATAAGTAGCCCAATGAAAGTCAGATAAAAGATACCTTTAAACAAATGTATGTGAATGTGCTATGCAGAGATTGGAAAAAAGCCTTTAAGAGAAAAAAATGTGCAATATCTTTATTTCCTTTGTTAAAAATCATTAAAATTTTTACATGAATAAAATTTGCCAACAAATTGAATAAAGGTAATAATAAATTATTTTTCTGCCTCTTTATCTCGAACACTAACAAAAGGATTATTTAAGATATAGAAACGTAAAGGTTTATCAGTCCAATCCTCAGCATACGCTATGTTAATTCTTTTACTTGTAACAATTTGAGAATCTGGTATTGAGTTTCCATCTTCTAACCAAATATTTTTATTGTCAGTTAAATCAACTTTATTGATATCTTTTTTGGTAATATCTAAGGCTTGACACATCTTAGATGGTCCATTAGTTATATCCCTTTCTTTCTTGGTTAATTTAGTTTTACCAGTATCTATTGTTGGTACGTCACCTTTTTTCCACCTTAATAAATTCATTGTGTCTTTACCATCTATTGGTTCAACAGCTCGTAATAATACAGCACATCCTTCCCCTGAATAAATAAAATGAGACTTAACTTTACATGTAAACTCAGTGAATAATTCAACTTGGCCTAGTATGTGAACAATTGTTGGGTTTGATAGGGCAGTTGGATATAGGGTTTAACCCATAATGAACATTTGATCCAAATCCAGTTGCTATGGGTGTAGTGGAGCAAAGATATGTGCATTTCCAGAGAGATTTTTTTAACATAAACCATGGTACAAAATCATAACAATATTTGATATATCATAATGTATCCACTAATCTTACCTTGACTTGAAATATTCATACAACAATATAAACCATAAATATGATAAACATAGGCTGTTCCAGGTTTCATAAACATAGCTTCTGTTCTCTCTGTGCGTTTATTTTTATAAGAATGTGCTGCTTTATCTGTCAGTCCTAAGTAAGCTTCTGTTTCAACAATCATTGCAGATAATCTTTTACCATCCTGCATTCTCACTAACTTTTTACCAAGTAGGGCTTTAGCTAAATCTTCTCCAGGCTGATTATAGAAACTTTTATCTAAACATTTTGGTGAGAAATATTTACTTGTCTGTATTTCTGATGATTTGGATTGCTTCACTAGACTCCCATCTCCTGTATCTTTTAAAACCTTCCTCTTTGGCATTCTGGATCAGTATATACCGGTATTGCTGAAATAAATCTATATAATTTGACGATTACCTAATAATACAGACTATAGTCATTTATCACTCACAGAAACTATTTAAAATTTTTTTAGCTAAACCAATCAGTAATAGTGTTTACAGCTCACCGTCGAAATTTGATCCATGTGTATCCAGAATTATCTGTGTTTGAAAGTTAAAAAGATGAGTCGTCTCTTTTTGAGACACTGCAATGTGTAGAAAAGACATAATTATACAGAAATATGAAAAGAAATTACTACTTTGAGATATTTTAAAAGGAATTAGTATATTTCTAGTACTTCTGAAGCTATATTTAATCGGCTTACAGTGGTTTCCCCGCTTGAAAATTTCCTCCCATAGAATAACAAAGATTAACATGCTTTCAATGAGTTTATTACAAATTAATTAGGGGAGGAAACCACTAGGATTAAAAAGAGGTGGCACTGGGGGAAAAACCACTAGGGACGAAACCACTTCATGCCGTTTAATCTGTGCATCTGTCCCTTTAAGCTCAAGATCAAGGTTATTCTTTTGGATCATTTGGAATCCTGGAAGAACACAGATCATAATTTAAAAAGGCATAAAGAAATTCCTTCTTTATAAAAAAAAGTAGGCATGTATTTATATTTTATTCATGGCTACTATTTGACCGGAACTAAAATATATTTCATGCATAATTAGTCAGTATTTCCTAATCCTCGATGTAATGATTAGTTGTGTGAGTTAACTCACTGGTGTCAGTTAAACTTACAGAACAGCAAAGGTTGTTAAATTGGTGGAATTTGTAATTTTACAAACCGTGGGTAATGTTGATTGTGCAATGTTTACAAAACAAACTCGATTATCAAGCTTCAATAATATAACGTGCACTGGAAAAGTTCGACTAGCTAATAAATTTGTAGTCAGAATTTCCAGTATGAATTGTTTGTGTGTTAAAGAGACTGGACAAAAGAGATGTTTGACCGAATTCTATGACGCACTTCCTTTTCAGTAAATCCCTTACACCAAAACACGTGTTTAGGGAAATGATCTCTACAAATTTTTTATTCATTTAATGAATTATTTATTTATTGACATCGAAATCTCAATATGAAGTTACAAGAATCATCCGTGGATCCAGCGACAAAGAAAATGAAGATTGAAAAGAAGAAAAAGATCAAGAATGAAGTTGAAGAAGTAAGTCTAGTCTGTTTCAATATTCAGTGTGATTGTCAATACTGCAATAGGCATATTAGGCCTCTCCTACTCTGTGACAACAAATACTACAATGTTTACGGAATTGAAATTTGACTATCATTTCAATATGATTTTAAATATCAACTTTGAAAATACTACAGAGAGGCTTAGATTGTCTTTGAGTTGTTGAAAATGTAAACCATTGGGTTGGAAAAGTTATTAATTGTAAATATGATTTTACACAAAGAGGGGAATTTTCAGACGAAAATAGTGAAAACTATACACAACGTTACCATTTTGACATTGTACCGTTTTAGATTTAAAGCCCAACGCAGACGAGGAACATTTCTGTCGACGAACAAAAACATCGAACAAATATATTTGTTTTCCGTTATCCGCAGATTACATTACAGAAACATTAGCTCGAACAATACGCAACAGTGCAACGGAAAATCACATGACCTCAAAATGGCGACGTCCAGAAGAAAATATAAAATTGCGTTATTGAAAAATATCTCCCTTTATTGGAAGTCTAAAGATTTTAAGTTTATATCGATGTTGGCACAGAATACACTACAGTCACACGAGGACGGACGAAAGGAGGTAAAGTTACCGGTTGTTTCCAGGGCTTGTGCTATTTCTTGCATCGCAGGAATAGTCCGGCGAATAAATCATAAACAAACAGGCAGATTGCGACCACATATCTACTAAAATCTGCTCCTTCTCCATAGTCCAAAATTTTGTGTTGGTGGATTCACAGGATGTCGCCAGTTTGAGTGTCATGTGGTCTGGCTTCGATTGCTGATTGGTCTTTCGTCGATGAATGTTCAGTGCTAATATTCGTCGTTAACGCAGACGCAGATTTTTAAAAATTGTTCGCCTCCCGAACAATTCTTTGTTCGCCGTCTGCGTCAATGACGAACAAAGAATTGTTCGGGATGCGAACAATTTTAAAAAATCAAACATGTTTGATTTCACGAACAATTCTCACATTTTTGTTCGTGTTTCTGTAATCCGCAGACGGTGAAAAAAATGATCGAAACAAAATTATTACGATTGTTCGCTTAAAATGTTCCTCGTCTGCGTTGGGCTTAACTGGTATTCATCTAGAAAAATGTGCCCTTTAACATATCTGAAAGTTTTTAACTAGAAAGATCCATTTGTTTTTTTAACGCCAAAAATATTTTTAAACAAGGTTTTTAAGTTCCTTTAGCATTTTGGGCCAGGTCTTCTTTGGGGTTTGTTCTAGATTCTCAAGGAACTTGATGGCCAGGTGTGACATTATGGGAGTTGATTTTAGTCTTGAATATATGTAAATAGTCATCAGAAGTACTAGAAATGTACGAAAATCACATAATTCCTGTAAAGGGGCATTCCACTTTGACCTAGCGTTGGTGTTTGCCTTTGTAATGGCTCGATATTAATAGTTGAAACCTCCAGAACACGTAGGAGACATATTTCTCTACAAGTAGGCATTTATTGTACTTAAATCCGTACCGCAGTTTTCTAACAAAACACAGAGTATCTTGACTTGATGAGTCGTCATTTTAGAATTCAGACGCAGATAATCCTAGACCTGAAGGCTCAAATTTCGACGGTGAGCTGTGAACACTATTACTGATTAGCTCCGCTAAAGTAATTCAGTTCTCTTTGACTAAACTTTGGTTATTAAAGTATAATTGGTCAAAAAGAATGGCCTATCTGTCCCTTTAATACAATGAAAAATATTTGGGGTAATATTATTGCAGACAGTAGTTGCTTTTTATTATATTGACTTGTAATTTTAGGTTGAAGAAGAAGAAACTCCAGTCAAAATAAAAAAGAAAAAAGAAAAGAAATCTAAAGACACTGAGGAGCCAGGGAAGAAATTGAAAAAAGAGAAAAAAGTAAAGATAGAAGAAGCTGAAACACCAAGTAATGTTGAGAGAAAAGATAAAAAGGAGAAAAAATCTAAAGTAAATGGAGCTAAAGCTGAAACAAATGGTTTAAAATCAGAAACAAATGGAGAGATCATTTCCAATGGGAAACAAGAGGAAGAATTGTCACCACAACAAAAGGCTGGGGCATTTTCAAACTTCAGAATTAGCCCAAACACTGTCAAAAAACTACAAAGTAAGTCTTAGGGGAAATATGTTTTACTTTATCAAAGGATGGATAATGCTTTACTATACTTATAGACTTATGTTTTGTATACCGATTCTACCAAAATTTTTTTGTAACAAATTGTTGGTGTCAGATATAATGAAGGTAACAGTTTTTGGTGTTAGGGTGTATTAAGAAAGCACTGAAAGCACTGGCCTAGATTACAGAGCAATAGATAAGTCTGTTATTATTATTAATTATGTGAAAATTAGTTAGTCATTAGTATGATTTTAGTTAAAAAGGGTAATGACACACACACAAACATACACTGCATGTTATATAATTTACTGTATATAGCCATGGCACCAATCCTGAAATAAGTATTCCCTGATATTGATTAATCTATTGATATAACATGAAGAAATGTCTGCTCCTAGGATGAATGGGCATTGTTCAATGGTTCAAGTCTACCGAGAAAGAGGAAATTGCTAAGATTCTGATTTCTTTTGTAAGCTACAACCAAACGTTTTGTGTATACATGGGGAAATTTGTTCTGAAGTTCCGAGTAATGGCGTTTGACTATTATGGAGGCTTTGGTAGCTGTAGAATCAAATGTTGTTATAAAGGGTATTGAGTGTTGAGTCCATTTGGCCTCACAGTCTGTAGTAAATTTCGCATTGTAACTAAGTTGTTTTTTATTTCAGAAAATGGGATTACATATTTATTTCCAGTTCAATCAGAAACCTTTGATATTGTTTATAGTGGATCTGATATTATCACACAAGCCAGTAAGTATTTAGCATTACAACTTATATACTATTTAATAGGTGTTATGATACCAGTAACATTCTAATTTTGCTCAATTCGTTCTGAAAGTGTATTTAATCCTGTGATTTGTCTCTTTACAGGAACTGGAACAGGAAAAACTGTAAGTATATTTACAATTATTCTTTTGTACATTAATGAAATTCGGCAGCCACAATTGCTCATGTAATCATGCACTAATAGACTTTATAGGCTTTAATGAAATATCTAAGCATTATTGTCACCATTTTATATAGATTAGCTTTATTTCAATTGTTTTTATACGCCCACATTATAATGTATTTATAATGATGAGATCTTAGTCAAGATTAAATTTGATGATTTTTCGATCAATGGAATTTGAGTTAGTAAAAATGCATAAAAATTTGTTGGCTTGTTAATGCGATAGAGGTGACAGTTTATGCTAGAATTTTATTAGATTTTGTGTGTTTGATTAAATCAACAATATTTTGCACAAATTAGATTTTTGGTATGATTTGACACAGCCCTTGATATACTGAAAATGTATCGGGGAAAGTGGGCGCATCTTGCTAGGCAACCAATTGTTTCAATTGCAATTCTTTTCTTTAGTTGGCCTTTTCACTGCCTATAATTGAGAAATTACAGTTAGATAAATCACCACCACAAAGAGGACGGCCTCCAAAGGTAAATACTTGTTACTTTCTTCACATAAAATAACCATTTGAATTAAGCTTACAGATAAGTTGTATAGAGGATCTTAGCGAAATATTCTATTAAACACACATCTGTCAATGAATTCATGTTTTCCTTTAATTCCTTGCATGTTTTCTGTATAGAGCCTTCCTTTTTAGGACTACCTTTTTGCAAAATGTCCTTGATAAGATCTAGATCAAGTGAATTGAATGGAACTGAAAGTTATGTTGTTAGGAAGAATTTCATGCCCTTCACCTTTAATTTCTTTGGTTCTTTTATACCTCACGGAATGATAGTTGTTCTGGTTACTTGGTGCATGAATACATGACCTTCTTTGCATAGTTATTAATCTGTGCTACCAGTTTTTATGAATTCGTGTTATGAACCTGAGAACTGTACTGTTGTGTGATAAGTTCTGTTTTGTAATGTTGATTGATGATATTGATATTGGTTGCAGGTACTGGTCATGGCACCAACAAGAGAATTAGCTAAACAAGTCTGTGAAGATTTTGAATCCTACTCATCATCACTAGTTGTACTGTGTATTTATGGTGGAACACCCTATGGTCCTCAAGGTATTAGCAATTTTCCTACAGATGAAATTACCATATTACAGTAATATATGTGCCAGAAAGGGATTTGTTTTGTGCAGTATCTTATATTATCTTGTGAACAACTACCATTTTATTGATTTGTTTGGGTTTATCTGCTGAGGATCCCTTTTTGTCAAGTCAATATAGTTGATATAAAAGTGTTATGTGATTGTTTATTTCAGAGCGAGTATTAAGATCTGGTGTAGATGTTATAGTTGGTACACCAGGACGTATCAATGATCATATAGAGAAAGGCAATATTAATCTTTCACAGATTAAACATGTTATACTAGATGAGGTTGACAATATGTTAGATATGGGTTTTGTGGAGATTGTGGAACAGATTCTAGCTTATGCTTACAAAGGTTAGTACTTTGGTACAGTATTATATGGATAGAATTAGTATGGAGTGTGATGGAGAAGGTGGCATTCCAGATAGTTGGTACGCTGAAAACTTTGTTTTATCTTGGTTTAAGCATTAAGTTTTCTTATTACATATATTTATTGCAAGGCTTGAAATAAGCGTCTGGACACGGACATTGTCCGGTACGGTTTCGGGAAATGTCCCAAACAATCTAGTTTGTGCTGGACATTTTTGTCATGTACCAAATTTCATAAAAAAATATGTTTTTCTTGTTGAAAAGATCATGAATTATCAGCTGTTTTGGCCGATATTGCGAACAGAAGTCAGAGTTGTGTGTTCTCAAAAAAAGTTTTTTGTCTCTGAGCCGAAGAAAATTTTCAAGCACCATGTTAAATAAACACCGCCGAATGTTATGATAAGCACGAGGATTCTTAAAACCGAAAGTAGAAAATTAAAGAAAGTAATAAATTCATTGTATGATATAAATAGACATCTTACTACTTCCGATTTAATTTAAAATATTGTATTTTTTTCTGTCTGGTACAAAATTTCAAATGACCAATACAAATTGAATTGTGACTGACAAAATGTCTGGCGCAATCTGGAGTTATTTCAAGCCTTGACTTTTGAGAGCTATCTATGCAAATATTTTCCCCAAAGATCATTTCTCCAAATATTAAAATTTGTGTGTTTTCAAATGATGTTCACTGAGCTATATATATTTCAATCCGTAAGTATGTCATACTTGTCTTATTCTTCATGAAATGACTACACCAAGCCTTAATAGATAAAGAAATAACAGTTCATGCTATAATTTCAGAGAGAGATGAGAAACCTCAAACTATGTTATTTACTGCTACTCTACCACCATGGGTCAGAAAAACAGCTAATAAATATATGAGAGAAGATGTCAAAACTATAGATTTAATTGGCAAAGATTTTAATAAAACTTCTAAAACAGTTGAGGCAAGTTTAATACATAAGAATATTTTTTGAAATTATTGTTTTATCTTTGGATTAATATCTAAATTAGTACAAAAAGTAAAAGTTTTACTGTATGTGAAGCAACCTTGACTGGATGTAGGCTTCTGCTTCATATCTTAAAAGTAATGATGTTTAAAGAATCTTCCTAAATGTGCTTTAATTTCCAGCATTTAGCTATCAAATGTAATCACAGTGAGAGGGCATCTATATTAGGTGATATTGTATCTGTATATAGTGGTAATCATGGACGAGCAATGATTTTCTGTCAAACTAAAAAGGAAGCCGATGAACTTGCTATAAGTCCTTGTATAAAAGTAGAAGGTCATGTGTTACACGGTGATATTGCCCAAGAGAAAAGAGAATCTGTGTTAAAGGTATTTTATTCACCTATTTTTATGTATATGATCAGGGTTCGCACAGTCTTGAAAAACCCTTGAATTCCGTCCGTTGCTTTTAAAAACCTTGATATCAAAAAAGTCTTTGAAAACAACATAAAAAACCTATTTTCTCTTGAAAAGTCCTTGAATTTTGAGTTGAGTGAAATTGAGTATACTTTTAACAATTTAATAAGTGAACATTTTTGTCTGAGTAAGATTTATCAACAGACTAGCCAATACTGAAAATAATAAACGTTGACTTGGAAGTATTCAATATAGATTACATCGTAGGGTTGCCATCTATAATATCTACTCTCTCCACACACCATGGTGCAGAAGAATAGGACGTAAAACTCCATTCATTTCATTTCCACACACCACGATGATCGAGTCAGTGACTATTATGTTACTTTATATAAATTATAAGGTCACGTCTCGCGATGTCTGTCAACTTAGATTAATAACATGCTTTTATTTTTTACTGTATTTGATCAGTTCCCAATTATACGAGAATTTTAGTGAATTTTTTCGCTAATTTGGCAGAATGACCTGTTCAAAAAAAAGTAATGTTTCAGAGCTGGGCCCAATGCGAAATGGGAATTAACTATCTTTATTAATTTCACAGTTCAGAAGTTGGGTACATGTGTATTCTGTCAGACTAATTTCTTTGAAAAGTCCTTAAATTTCAAAGCTCGGAGTCCTTGAATAACTTTTGAATTTTTGAGGCAAAGTGCTGTATGAACCCTGACGATGTAAATGTACTTATTCAAAATATACCCCCTTATAGACAAGTTATATTCAGCAAATTATTCTTATTAATCTAAGCCAAATAACAAGTAGACTTTGGACTCCCTAATTGATGAAGAGTTTGTCCCATTTGAAATTGGGAGTTGATCATGCCTGTCTTATCAAGTTTATAAACACTCAAGGAGGCAGCTGATGCATTTGATTTGTACATAAAGTGATTATCTTAGATAGCATTATATAATATTGAATATTATTGATCACCAGGGATTTAGAGAAGGTAAATATAAAGTGTTAATAACAACTGATGTTGCTGCTAGAGGATTAGATATACCTGAAGTGGATATAGTTATACAATGTGAACCTTCAAAGGTAAGAAATATGTATTCTAAATTTTTTTTGGAAATATGAATATGAAGCCATTGAGAGGTTATAATTTTCAAGGTTTCTTGTTGCCTAATCTTTCTTTATTTCATTGACCTTCAGTCAATATCAGTAAAAACTTAACTCTGAAATGGACAGCAAAAAAAAAATATGAAGCAGACATTTTCCATTTCTTTGTTTCTGGTGAAACTACTATATATACTTGTTAACCTTTATAATATTTTTAATTGTTTGATAAAGACCAGAGAATGCTGGTTGAAACGTCGCTCAAATAAAGTTCGTAATAGTAATCCATAAGAATTGTTTTATTATTTCCAACACCTTTACTAAATGCCATTAAAAGATTATATACTTGCTGTGAAACAAAATGATTTGCTTAAGAATCGTTTTATTATCCCTGTAATTATTTTGTTTATATTTATTTCAGTATGCTGATGCTTACATTCATAGATCTGGTAGAACAGGTCGAGCAGGTAGATCAGGTGTATGTGTATGTTTATATAGTGCCAGAGAAGAACATTCATTACGAGCCCTAGAATATAAAGCTGTAAGTTGTGATGATATTTATATACCAACATCTGTGTATGTAAAAGTAAATTGTAGGCCCCAATATTTACCATTCATACTTCCATTTATAAGCTGTGGAATCTTCATTTAGAAAATGTATCATTTTAAATGAACTTATAGTAGTAGAATTGCAAAATTACCATCAGGAATAGAATTTTTCACCTGGTTCTGATTAATTAACCAAGGAGGAAAAATATTTGAATACTTGCCTGTGTTCCACAAAATACATGTATATTAGGCTTGCTTAGGCTTAGGCTCTGAAAGGGTCAATTTGAATCTCATCAGACTTAATTAAAGTGCTCATAGTATGTTCAATTATACACAGTAAACAAATCAATTCATCTTGTAGGGTATAAAATTCAAAAGAACAGGACCACCTACACCAGAAGACATTATAAAAGCAGCATCTGATGATGCATACAGGTAAATCTTATAAACATTTCTTTATGACAGTTTGTGCCGATTTGCATTTCACATTTTGAAATATTTATGTCTTAGTCTAACATGGTTCCCGCAGTCCTTGAAATTCCTGGATTATCATGGAATATGAAAATGGGTTTTCAAGGCCTGGAATATTCTTGAATAGCGCAATTTTGAGAAATATTCTTGAAAATCCTTTGTTTTTTTAAAGCTGAAAGTTTTATTTTAGAATCATTTGATAAGTTCAAAAATGCATGATTTCGTTTTTGATTTAAGTAATGCGTTGGGAAGATTATTCCTATTTTTAAGATGGACTGTCCCCATTTGGCACATCTGTTTATATATGGACGATTCCATTCTGTAGTTAAAAGGTAATTTTTGAAATTCCAATAGGCTACATGTTATGACGAGTTAGGATGCATGTCTCCAGTATATATACGTCTCTATCAATTAATAACATTTCAAAACTCAAGCGATAGATGGTTATGTAATTTTGGTACCTAAAATACTGAGATCTCTTTGATTTGTCACACTTTTTATTGAATATCTGGAGGATCAGATTCAGCACAGAATCATAGGAGGCGTGTTTGTTACTATAAATAGTACCGTAGTTACAGATTTTGCTGAATAAGGAATATCATAAGGAGGTGATAGTAGACGACATATCTGGTGATGTAGATTAGAATAGCATGGATATGACCTTTTTGAGAAATATATACTGGCAATAACTAATGCCTCATCATTTAACGATCGATATATAATATCCCTATTTGTAACAAAATATTTGACCAACTTTTAAATATCCATTGTCGTAGGAAATACCGCAACTCCCAGATTAAACTATTATCGGTTAGCTTTTCCCATCATACCCGTGCGACCATGAAAATTTAGATTCAATGTCACAGGAATAAATATGACAAATTCAAGTTTCTCATCACTTAACATAACATTGAAGATATCTACCTGAACCGTCATTTGAGAAATTAGTCTGGTCTGAATTCATTTGATGGGAGAAAAATCTTTTTTTAGTAAAGTCGCCATTTTCGAAAAATTGTATTTTACAGGTTGTGATTATCGATTTTATTTACATTCATGATGATATTTGACATCTGTCAAATATTTCAATCAAATGTCATTGTGTTTAAGTGATGCCAAATCCTTGAAAATACTTGAAATATCTTACAATACATATTGTTTTTATTTTAGAGCATTAGATGATGTACCTAAAGAAACAATTCAACATTTTATGGAAAAAGCAGAAAGCTTGATTGAAGAAAAGGGTGCTTGTGAAGCATTAGCTGCAGCCCTAGCAGTCATTTCTAATAATACATCTATAGAAAGAAGATCACTATTAACAGCAAAGAAGGTAAGCTATTTATCATTTTTATGAAATATTGTAGAACAAACTCTTGCTATTTCATGACCTTATCTCCTAGATCAGAAAATTAAATCTTCCAAAAAAGTTACATCCTTTTTTATTGGCAAAACTTTGTTTGGTTTTCATTGAATATATGTAGAGGATGTAAATAATCAACTTAAATGTGGAACATATATTATGCTGGTCAGTCACCAATTGCTCGTAAACACTCTGGAAGGCACAATTAGAAGATGGATTTTGACGAAATTAGGTAATAGTGTTCATTATCAACCCTTAAAGATCAGAAGAAGTGTATGACTTAAGATTGAATATTTCTTACTGGTGATTGTTACTGTACTGTCAAATATTTTTATTCAAAATCAAAGCTGCCAGTGGGTGTATATTACCTTACGTGGCAAGCTGTCTTGTATACCCATAATACTTTATATGGACTAGCCAGACAAATGAGGGCCCTACCCAGTTCCCCTGATATTCATATTCATATAGAATATCGGAACTGGGTTAAGGACAAGACATATAATGTCAAATTTTTATGGGGTTTGCTTTGACCAATTTTTGGGTTGCTAGTTACTAAGAGTTTTCACCGTAACAAAAGCCCAATTTGGCAAAACTTTTGGTATCTGTAAAAAGCTGAACCATTAATGAGACCATCAAGACATTGCTCAAGTCTTGTAATAACTCCAAAAATTGGGATGGACATTTGAAATTTTTTTGTACATTCCCAGGTGACTTTGACTTCTGTTATCAATATTAACGGTCAGAAATTCAGTTAAATAACAATCTTTCCTAGAAGAAATGATTGCTTCATATTCTACAATATCCCTGTGCCCCACACGCTACCAAAATACAGTCGAGGGGTAGACTTAATTTACTGAGTTGTACTAGCTGGTGAAAAAAAAGTGACTTTATTTATGGCACCATGTGGGTTACAAGGACATTGCAGAATATTTGGCAATATCTTGATCTAATCATTAGTGTTTTATGTCCATTAGATTTTACAGAAAAGACATTTCTGACAAAGAGGGGCTTATTGAGCCTTCAGCCACCGACCAGTGAGCTAGACCTTTATAGTTGTCTTGTTGGAATGTAGGTCTTGTTATAAGGATATTATTGTCAATTTTCCAAGGATGATCTTATATAAAGAGATTTAACAACACAACAATAGGATGACATCACTACATAATTATAAGTGCACAAGTTATATTTAATCATCTATCACATAGTTCATTGCAAGTTGAAATGAAGAGAAACTAAGGTGTAGGGTTGATATATAGGATAGGAAATTGAATTTCTAGGAACTGCATTGTATAATATTATGATGTCCCTGACCTTGTACACAATATAAAATAACGTACATGTACAATAACATTTTAATTGTAAATTATGTAAAACTTTTTTAAGCCTGTATTTTAAATGCTCACATTGTCATTTGTCAATGTTATTAGTAAAAATTTCCTGGAATTTCAATATGAAGTTAAACTTTGTGTCAATGCATTGAATAACTTCAAATAGAAACGCTATTGACTTTAAAGGGATTGCAAACTAAATGTCTGATTACAGTACTTAATGCAAAATAAATGACTAGTTACATGCGATTAGTGATGTCATCAAAACTTAGCTTTAGTGGATTTGTAGGAACCACAGATATCTGATTGAAAATTGTAATGGTGCAACTTGATGCTATTGGGTTCCCCGATACACATAAAAAATTGTCAAGAAACTAGACTATCTAGAGATGTCAGAAAAAACAGAACTAAAAATAGAATAGGAAATAATTTTTGACCAATACCCAACTTCGCCAAAAAATCTAGTTTTCTTCCTTTCCTAATAATTATACACCAACTATTTGAAGCCTGCAAAATTTTTATCTTGAAATGTCACAAAGCCACATGGCTGAAATTTGCAGGGAATATTTACAAGTTCAGTTTTACTTACATATACATCATATAAATAGATAATTATTTAGTCTAAAATTGGTTCTAATTTGATTACGATAATATCAATGTTCATTTTTTTGGATAGTTTTGGATTGTTTTTTTTTTCAATATGGGTAGATGTAAACATTGCCAATGCCCCACTGAAATTGAAAGGGTATTAGTCTTGATGGGATTGCAACTTTATATGTGTCTTACTTCAGAAATACTTTTTTCAGAGAATTTGAATCAGTGCCAAATGAAAGCTTGAGTCTTAGTCTAAGTTAGTCTAAGTGTACCTGATACACATACAAAGACTTGAAAACCTCTTTACAATCCCTTTAAGGTTATTCAAATAGATTTCAATTCAAGGAAAATGACTTGTGTTTTGCTAATTTTTGTCTTTGTTCAATTTTGAATGCATTTCTCAATAAAGTGAATTCTAGTTACTACTTAAAGTTATTGATTCTGGTGATATGTGGGCTTAGACTGAAGACAGTGTGTTATATGTGTTATATCTCCAATGTTTATTATGAAACCAAGGAAATATTTATAGTCAGTCATTACTGTGTTTGCACTCAGATTGGTAAATTGACTTAAGCCTGTTCTTTTCAAATGCCTATGAAATGTGACTTGTCAGAAATAGGGTATTGCTCTTGATCTTCATCTTGTAATCATGATTCGACAACAAATGATTGAGTTTCAACCCTTGATACACTGCAATTATAAAATTAGTGAATACAGCTAATTAAGGGCCTAGACAAAAAGTCTGAACACAAAGTCATAATGTTTACAGTCTTTCTGTAGAGGGCTGCATTCCATCATATTAACAAGATTATAGCTATTGCAGACAATGTACAAGTACGAAGTTCGTAATATTGTGACATTGTGAAGTTAGGTATGATTTAACAAATGACAACAAAGCTTCAATCCTTGATACATTGAAATTACTTCTAAGTGGTTTGTGAATATGATTGAGGCAAAAGTTTATCAGTTATAATGATAGGAAATTTGCTGTGTAGGTTTATATTAAATTATCCACTAAATCGTAGACATGTTAGATTTTGGCTACTATGCGATATTGATGGCAGCCTTTGATAAATTGAAAATTAATTGGGTTGCTGGGCGTTAACTTGACTGCCTACTGCTTGTATAATAGACCTGGACTTATAGATATGATATTATATACTGTAACCTAGATTTATTTACTTCCCTGTACACGTGATATATTATACTTAACATTGATTATATATATCATCTAACATTTAGATAACATTTAGATCAATATTTTCAAATACTGTAATTGAGAATAATATTCTAGCATAAATAATTGCTATAGACTGAAAACTGACAACATTTTAGTTAAATTTTCAGTATTATAATTTCAAATCAAAATTAGATATCTATCTCTGTACTGAATGCTTTTTCAAGTCAACTTTCTTCATGAGAACTTCTGTTGATTTGAATTTATAAGAAATCAACTTTATTTAGTTTTATTTTATAAAGAAACACATAGCAGTGATAGTCTGATATCTTTAAATTATTGCATAATAATTGGCTTGGAAATTCCAAGTATTCTATAAATAGATTTCCACCACAGCTGGTACACAGAAGAAGGCTGCATGTGTCATTCCCAGAATGTTGATTTATCATTCTTCATTATGCAATGAAATTTGACTATTTAATATGTAATGCCCTAAGACTTTGTGATATTTGACTTTGCATGATAATATAAAATGAGAATTGATATTCATTTTGACTGAATGTAATTACATTTCAAATATTGCAGATCATATCAATATTGTTGGTTTTTACAAAATAGGTTGTCCACAGAGCATTAATGAACAGCTAAAAAAGTGCAATTCAAATGTAAAATGTACATGGTACTTGTGGTTGCTAGTTCTTATAATTTCTGTTCTTGATAAGATGCACATTCCAGAAAAGACATAATTAAATAATAACTACAGTGATTGTTATATATAATTTTAGGGCTATACAACTTATATTTGTCGAACCACAGTGGAATTATTTGGGCCAGGCTATATCTGGAGATTTTTAGAAGATAATTTTCCAGAAGTGAAAGATAAAGCTCAATCAATGACATTGTTAAAAGATAAAATGGTAAGCAAACTAGATCTTTTTGGTGAGAAATGTTATTTTTTTTTATCTTTAAACTAGTTGTTTCTGGATCAAATAACATGTCAAGCCTGAGGATAAACTTAGTATGCCGCCAGATGACAATTTATCAGGGTCATGTTTCAAGTTGTTGTGTGATTAGCGTGACATTTAAAGATATACTAGCTGTATAGTGAATTGACTTGATAATAATATAACATGATCTTTCTTATTGTTTTTATAGGGCTGTGCATTTGATATCCCAACAGAATTTGAATCAACAATAGGTGATGAATATGAGGGACGTAATGGTATAGTAATATCTAAAGCTAGTGAAATGCCAGCTTTAATACAAACACAAAATAGACCAATTGGACGATCTAGTTGGGGTGGAGGAGGAGGAGGAGGGAGTTATCGTGGTAGGAATGGTTTTAACAACTATTCTAATAATAGACATAATTTCCGTGGAAGTAGTGGTAGCAGCAGTGGATTTGGATACAAAAGAAAACCAATGTTTTCTGATCATGGCGGTTCCAAAAGGACTAAATTTGGTTAAAAAAAAATTTAAAGTAATGAAATAAAAATACTTTCTTTCATTGGATTATGATTTTTATTTCCAGTTTCTTTGGAAAATGACTCATCTTTCAAATTGCTTAGTTACTAGTTACAAGTTGTATAAAAGGAAAAGTCAAAAGAAATGAAATTTCACACACTATCTGATTAATATTCAAATTGAGATATACATTTCAAGAATTTTCATATTAGCCTGTATAAGATTATCATGGATGGTGGATTGAGTCCTTGGCAGAAAGAAAAATACATGCATCAAAACAAAATTGCTGTACACATTACAACTTTGTAAAACAGGACAGCATTTAAGTTCAATATTGGAGAAGAAAATAATATAAGAAAATGTTTACTGAATATTCAAATTCATAACATAACAGTTAGATAATAGATAAAAAAAAATTCTTAATCAATAAAATAAAAACTACATGTAGTGCACATTTATTAATAGGCAACAGACAATTTAAGTAAAGCAGATTGCACACAAACAATATCATAAACTCATCACAACCTCTTAAAGACTTGGAGCAACTATAGTTTTGTCTACAAAAATAAATTATAAATAATCCAGTTTGTTTCTGGAACTATGTTCCATATATTCAGTACTTTGTCATTGTTCACATCCTTGAGTATGATCAACTTGTCTGATATTACTGTAGTTTATCATATGGCATCACACACCAGTATGATGGCATCAAATGTTAGCTCAATTTGTAGTGTGTGAAAGAAGTCCTTCCTCCAATGTGGACTACAAGAAAAGATAATTTAAACTGTAGCAAAAAGATAATAATAATTTGACTTGATTTGTGATTAATGCTGATATATATATACATCATTTTCTAAGAATGGTGTACTATCTGCTAGCTAATTGATGTCTTGTTTACCAAAGTCGGTAAGTAAGAATCACAATACCAGGAATATAAGGAATATCACAATCATAAGACAGCATTATTATGAATACTTATCCAAACTTCTATGCATATTGCAAAAAATCAATCATTATCTTGAGAACATCAGTATGTGTGGTCTTGAAATTGATCTATGAATTTGAAATGGTATCAATGATCTTTAAAGATGGTCAAGAATGACCATGTGCTACAGGAGATTTAAGTCTGATATATTGATAATGTAAATACACACCATAATTATATTGTTGTCCTCATCCACTAAAAATTCATCACATATATTATCTAAAGTTGTTGTACAGATAACTTCTGAAATGAAAGACAACATAAATAGTTGAAATATAATAAATATAAACATAAGATGAACTCTTGATCTTCATTCAGCCACCAAATTAAACAAGAAACTAAAATCTTCAAATGTCACCACATCAAGTAAAAGGTTCAAGACAAGCCATGAATGTACAAGAGAAGCCTCTCTTACCTTGGACATCCTCTCTGCTCAAACTGTCCATAAAGTAGTGACTTTCTGGAAATTCTGAAAAAAAGATTCATTTATGTTAATGATGCTAAAAATATTAACATTAATATTGTGATATATTTTTTTTAATAATATGTAATAACTTTCTCAAAAACATGCTAAATACTATCAAACCAACTGGTTGGAAATCTTCCTGATACATTTTTAATTTGTACTATTGTGATTAAAAGATAGTGCTTTGGAATGAAATGATGCTACCCTGCAACAAGAAGGTTATTTCAGTAACTCTTTCACTTTGTGCATTATATAGATTCCAGCCATATAAAAAACATCAAGTTACCTGACTTAATTTTTACGTCCCTATCTTCACAGGTTTCATCAAAAATACAATCAAAATTGGGTGTTGGTATGTGTGTATGTGTATCCATCTTAATGTTGATAGGCTCTGTTAAAACCTTTTCTATACATCCTTCTTGTGGTCCATCTGTAAAATAACATTATTATATAATATATTCCTATAAAGAAAAAATGCTGATAATTAAGCTCAGTGTGTTTTTTTATCTTTGTCATTTGATTTTGAATTTTGGTGAGAATATTTTTGTTAGAGCAGAAAAATAATATCTGAGCATAAATTGTAATGTTGATATTTTTATGGATTGTTCTAACAAAAAAACCTTGCTTACCTAAGTTAATAATATCAATTTCTTCTGAATTTGCTTTTGCTATAAGGTTGAAATTTGGTACTGGAATGGGTGTTAAAACTTTGTTTTGTGCTTCTTCTGTTTCTACTTTTAAAAAATAGCCTTGATTAACACTTAATGATTAACAATTTAGGACTGCCAGAGTAAACTACCAGCACCAGCTGCCTTGTATATGACACTCAGATCAACATAGGTGCCTAATTAGGACAATGATACAGGTATAGACTAATTTTAAAATGTTGGTAACATACCTGAATCTATTATGTTGAAATTTGGAATGGAATATGGAAATCTTGAACTGATATCATTTGAAAAGCTTGTATAATCCATTTCTCCTGAACTACACGAATCTTCATCGCTGGTGATTTCCTTCTGCATACAAAAAAAAAGTATGATTTGAAATACATGTTTACGACAACTAAACTTAATTGGTAATGTTTCAAAAAAGCTTCAAATATGAGCTGAAAGATTATATTTAGACACTAACCTTAATTGAGGAAGGATATGAGGAATTTCTCATTCTTAACCTTCTTGATGATTTATCTGAAAATGAAAAAAAGATTTATGCACTTTTGTTGGACTTAAATTCACTGTTTTTGCTTTTTTGTTTTTTTTTTTTTTTTTACATGAACAGCTCATCCATTTGGCATCACATGATTTGTTATGATTAATACATAATATTTCTTGTGAATTTAACCATGTATAATTTTATAATTATTACTTTTATACAAATAATCTACCTTGATATTTCTCGTCTAAAAACTGGTAAATTCTAACAGCATTGCCACCTTTTGTGACACTTTGGTCCTTTAATTCCATGATATCATTTTTCAGACTATTTAAAGCACATCTGAAATTAGCTTTCCAATTCTTGGCATTGCATTTATCACCAGGTTTAAATTTACCTTTAAAATAAATAACATGTTCTTTCAGCATTCATAATGAAAATATGAATTGAAAATTGAATTGTGACTGTGTTGATACAGGCTAAGTTTTAATAATAAACATTAACATTTATATCGTTTATGTTTAAGACTATCAATCATTTTAAAATATAGTTAACAGAATGATTTACAATAAACAATAGTTTATACTCTCGCCAAATATTACTTGATTTGTAGAATCCCGATATAATATTAGACATAAGCGGTTTTTAACAATAATGTCATAACAGTTTCATTTCAGTGCATACCTGTATGTTCAGCCCAGCACTTGAAAATACTAGAATCACTGTCGGCTGAATACTCGTGATGAGAAGCATGTCGCCATGTCACTTGGAATATTTTATTTTTTCTATCAATCCATTCCAAACCTTTTATCAAATTTTTATCTAATCTTTTCATTAACCAAGGCCTCATCTTTTCTCTATCAATGGGTCTTATAGCCCGTCTGTTGGCATTTTCACATAGTTTTTGAACCATTTTCTAAAAATAAAAAAGATAGCTCTGTGCATGCTGATGGAGTTCTTCTCTGATTTGGATAAATTTGGTATGCATTATGTCATAGAACTAAATGATTATCATGTGGATTAATGAGATCTCCAAAGAGGTTCAACATTTTTATTTTTAGCCTAACCATATTTTATCTGAGTGTTATTATATGATATATTACATGCCCTTTAGCTTTTTGACATGTGAGACGAGTCATAATGTTGCTAAATAATGATTGCAATATATCGCATCTTCCTGTACATGGTCGTTTTAACCATAGGCCTTATTAATAAATAGAAATATGTTTTAGTTTTGGACATGTTTAAAGAGACAATTATGTATATAGTTGAAAGCGCTTTTCTCCAGTCTACAAAGACTACAACACAATATATATATTTGTATGAAATTTATGACGTTTTTCCAAAGCGTTGAAAAATCGATTAGTAATTAATTTGATTCAATTTAATGCATTAATGGCAATCTATTATCTGTCTCCTCCTATCAATTAATTAAGCTTAGTCTAAGAATGCAGACATCGTCACCGAGGGAGCTATATAAATAATGTTATATTAGGTAGGTAGGTAGATGACAAGTTAACGTTCGCTTCCAGCGGATGCTGATATCGCAAACTATAATGTTATATTTGTAAATATATCCATATATATGTATATTTATACCGCGATCGACCAGTCAAAACAAAGCTCCCCAGCTGTAATAGCTCCAAGTAACTACGAAGATATGTTTGCGGAGCTGCTTGCATCAACTTATCAGTTATCAAGCATCGATTGGTCCATGCTGCAAGAAAGCAAAATGTTTGAAACTGCTTTTAACTCTTCAGTAAATGACATAGTTTGCCTACCTTCCTAGATTGCCTTTTAGTTTTACTTTGAATTTATCCACAGCTCAGTGCAGTTTTAATTATTTTAATATCTGCAGACTTTGTAAGCAGCTAGGTCCTTTATAAAGTTATTGTCACGTGACGTTAAGGGGAAATCCAGCTTTCTTGGAAAACCCAACTTTCAAAGAAGGCTATTTTTAGCTCAACCTACTGTTATCAACAGACAGACTGGGTCATCTCGAACTTGAAGAGTAAAGCGAGCAAAAAGAATTTTTCGGAGAAAATGCAACAAATTAAGTCCTTCGTTTAAAACACATTGAGTCAAATTGTATTGAGTTAAGGGCTATTTTTTACATGGAAAGTATACTAGTATTTATTGGATTTAGTACTAGTAGAAGCATGTGCCAGACTAACCTAGCTATACCCAACCCCGTAGCGTACAAGTACAGGCCTAAGAGGTGGATAAAATTCTAGATATTAAATCTATTCCTCGGCCCATTTGTCCAACGAATTATTGTTCTATTTAATTGCAGAACATTTTTCTAATGTGACCATCTAATCTTATAAAATTGATTGTAGGTATTGTAACGAATTACTATGTAGGGGAGGCAACTTTAATTATTGATGAATTATTCAAACGTTACTGAGTCGCAATTGAATATAAGGCCTATTTAGGCTACATAAATTACATTTTCATTCTAAAACTCGGAGGGATTCTTTGATTTAAGTTTTTTTGCATTGCTTAACGAAATGGTAATTCCAGAGATAGATTCTAGTACCGTAGTTATCTTAATTGATGTAATTTATAGACGCAAAATTCCCATTCTATTTGGAATTCCCAATGTGGGATGACGCTGAAATTTCCAGAGACATAATTCACAATGACATCTGACTCAATTTGCATTTCAGAAGAAAAATAAGATGTTGGACGTACACCAATGTCCCATATGTCAGACAAAAACGTCGACGAAAGTATTCAATGTATCCTTCCATGGATGTATTATAGCTGAATTGAGCTTTACTCGTCAGAAAAGCTTAATACGACTATGATAAACACAATATGTTATATTCTTGACGAAATTGTGGCGTTCTCACTAGAATTCTATAGAGATTCAAATTCCATCGAAATTCACAGCTGGCTTTATTATGTTTTTTTTTTTAAATAAACGGGATTTTTTTTAGCTAAGTCAACCAGTAACAGCTCCATCCATCTTCAAATCCATGTGTGTCCAGAATTATCCGCGTTTGAATTTTAAAATGACGACTTGTCATATATAGAAAAGACATATTATAGAAATAGTGAGTAAAATTCCTAGTTTGAAATATTTCACACATTAATTCTATAGTACTGAAGACTATTTACATAATCAAAGTCCCCAAAATGGTGCGTTTGGACGTTTATCACTAATAAGTCATGAGTAATAAACATTCATTCATTGAAATTATTTACGTCAAAGCCAAGAACTCAATGACTGTTAATCTAGAATTCAAACATTGCATGGGCATATGCGTAGTATAGTCTTTCTATTTTCTACGAAATCATTTCAACGTAAAAAAAAAAAAAAACAAATAAAAATCTTTCCTATAAAAAAAGTTTTGTCTGGATTACCAAGTAGATTATTGAGTATAAGCAAATGCCTAAATATAGGAATTTGTTGTTATTATCATTATTTCACATTTAGAAATTAAATGTTAGAACTTTAGAAATATTTGAGTCATAATTTGGAAAAAGAGAATGCTTAAATATCTGGATTTGTTGTTATTATCATCATTTCACTTGTTCTAGAGAATATAATGATTGATAAAAATAATATTCAACAAAGCTCTAAGTTTCTTCAAAATTAATTCAGGAATATAATAACTATAAGACATGTATTAAAGATTATCGTTACCGGTTATAAGGCCGTTCTGCAGTTTGACTACAATACTGAAACTCCATAAGAGTCTTTATATTTTGAAAAAAAAATTTGATTTTGAAGTTTAACGTTGCTATAGATAAAGTTAGATTGTATGAAAATCTATGATCAAAACGAATCGATTCAACCAGCGACACTTTGTACACATAATATAATCGTAGGCTACATGTATCTCACCTCTTTAAGACACCTCTGCGTCCAGTGGATAAAATATAATATATTGAATGAATAAATACCAGTAAATAGAAAGAATAAATACTTTAATCAAGTAAAGTTTTAAAATGAATGAATAGCAAGGCCTATATTTGAAATAGATAAATAAGTTTTTATAATTTATACAAGATGTTTAAGCCTATTGTCTTAGCAAAGTAAAAATGTTTTCTGATTTGCTTCCATTATTTTGATGATGATTGGAATAGCAGCCTCAAAATAGTTAGTCTTTTATGTCTTTACGTTGAAATTATAACATAACAGGACAGAGGACAATTTTCATCAGCCAAAATTTTGTGTTTCTTACCAATATTGAATTAAAAAAAATAATATTTATATCAACGCAAAGAGGCCTCTATTCCAATATAATAATAAAGAAAACCCGAGAAAAATCGGTCAAAAAATTCAAAAAAGATTTTGCCTTGATTAGACATAATCCTATATAGAATCGTCGTAACTGAATTACCTACATGACACAACGCTTTTTTTATGTAGGCTAAGTTAATGTTACACAGCATAAATAAATAAAAGGTACGAGTCAGAAATCTTTTAGCTTGGTTCGAAATTTGTCAATTACTATCTAAAAAAAAATCGATTCAAATCCCCCAACGTCAAAAAACCCGTACAATATTCATTACTTATTTATTTTATTTTATTTAATTTAAAAATAGGAGAATGATTATTTGCATTTGCCAATCATTATATATATAATAAATAAACATCAGAACATACAAATAAGCTAACCAAGAGTTTGTATAGGTCCATTTCAAAATTTTAATTCTTCTTTACGTACATATTAGGGTTACAAGGTGGAATTCAACATTCAAACATTGGATTATGAATTTGGCTCGATTGGGAGGTTTATGACAAAAATAGTTAAGTTAATGTTGACCATACCATTACAGAAATAATATATTTAGAATTTATATTTTATATTATATTTTTCTGAATCATAGTTTTATTAGTAAATTTAAAGTATTGAATTACGACATTCATGACGACTAACCAGAGCCGAATCTCCCACCATGTCATCGCCTGTCGACCCGATCAAATCTCAAGAAATCTCGAATTACCAAACCAACAGCACAGAACCATCCAATTGAACCATCCAAATACCAACAAATACCTAGTTTGCAATATCAGCTAACGCTGGAAGCGAACGTTAACTTGTAATCTACCAACCAACCATCCAACCTGACAGCTCATTGTCAATCGTTTATAGATATTTTTACATACTGTAAGAAATAATGAAAGCGACCTTCATCATAAACACGTTTCCTTACCAATTTAAAAGCTTCACACACATAGTACATTATGATGTTGAATTAAAGGAATACAAGATGATGATGTATTAAAAGGAATACAAGATGAAGATGAATGAAAGGTAATGCAAGATAATGGTGAATTAAAGAGAATTAAAGAGAATAGAAAATAATGATAAACTACACGGAAATACAAGGTGAAGATGAATTAAGGAGGATACAAAATGATGGTGAATTAAAGGTAATACAAGATGATTGTGAATTAAAGGGAATACAAGATAATGGTGAATTAAAGAGAATACATGATGATGTTGAATTAAAGGAATGCAGGATGCCGATGGATTAAACGGAATACAAGATGATGTTGAATTAAAGAGAATGCAAAATGATGGTGAATTTGAGGAAATACCTGACGATGATAGATTAAAAGGAATACAAGATGATGTAGAATTAAAAGGAATACAAGATGATGTAGAATTAAAAGAAATACAAGATGATGTTGAATTAAAAGGAATACAAGATGATGTTGAATTAGAGGAATACAAGATTATGATATTTTGAAGGTAATACAAGATGATGATGAATTAAAAGGAATACAAGATGATGTTGAATTAAGGGAATATATGATAATGTTGAATTAAAAAGAATACAAGATGATGTTGAATTATAAGAATACAGGATGATGTCGCATTAAAGGAATACAGGATGATGTTGAATTAAAAGGAATGCAAGATGATGTCGAATTAAAGGAATACAAGATGATGATGAATTATTAAGGAATACAAGATGATGTTGAATTAAAGGAATACAGGGTGATGTTGAATTAAAGAAATACAAGATGATGTAGAATAAGAGGAATGCAGGATGATGTTGAATTAAAGGAATACAGGGTGATGTTGAATTACAGAAATCCAAGATGATGTAGAAATAAAGGAATACGGGGTGATGTAGAATTAAAAGAAATACAAGATGATGTAGAATTAAAGGAATACAAGATGATGTTGAATTAAAAGGAATACAAGATGATGTAGAATTAAAGGAATACAGGATGATGTTGAATTAAAAGGAATACAAGATGATGTAGAATTAAAGGAATACAGGATGATGTTGAGTTAAAAGGAATACAAGATGATGTAGAATTAAAGGAATACGGGATGATGTTGGATTAAAAGGAATCTAAGATGATGTAGAAATAAAGGAATACGGGGTGATGTAGAATTAAAAGAAATACAAGATGATGTAGAATTAAAGGAATACAAAGATGATGTTGAATTAAAAGGAATACAAGATGATGTTGAATTAAAGGGATACAGGGTGATGTTGAATTAAAGAAATACAAGATGATGTAGAATTAAAATGAATACAAGATGATGTAGAATTAAAAGGAATACAGGATGATAATGAACTCAAAAGACGATGATTAAATAAGGAGGATACAAGATGATGGCGAATTTAAGAGAATTCAAGATGATGGTGTATATAAGATAATTCGAGATGATGGTGAATGAACTCAAGGAAATACAAGACTATGATGGATTAAAGGCTAACGGTAAATGAAAAATCCTGTTTAAGTCCAATTGTTTCCAATTTTTTCGAGATATCAAGAGCTGAAATGCAGCCTCTATCGCATTCACTTTCTAAAATTTTCACGTATATTTTAATACATGTCAAGGCAATAGTTCAAAATCGGGAAAATCAAACCAATTTAGGATCTCACTAAAATACATAAATTGTATAAATGAATTCGATCAAAACTGTAATTTCTGTAAAAATTTGTAATATATTTTGCGTTCAAATGTCAATTTGGACGTATTTTGGCTAATTGGTCAAGAGTAATAAACGTTCATTCATCGAAATTATTTACGCCAAGGACCATAACTCAACGATTGTTAAACTAGAAATCAATGAGATTTCATCATAAGCGTAGTAGGTCTTCCAAGAAGTCAATTCTTTTTCAATTTCTATGATATAATTTCTAGGAAAAGAACTAATACAAATCTTTCGTAGAAAAGTTTTGCCTGGATTACCATGTAGATTGTTAAAACTTTAGAAATATTTGAGTCATAATTTGGAAAAAGAGAATGCTTAAATATCTGGATTTGTTGTTATTATCATCATTTCACTTGTTCTAGAGAATATAATGATTGATAAAAATAATATTCAACAAAGCTCTAAGTTTCTTCAAAATTAATTCAGGAATATAATAACTATAAGACATGTATTAAAGATTATCGTTACCGGTTATAAGGCCGTTCTGCAGTTTGACTACAATGCTGAAACTCCATAAGAGGCTTTATCTCTTTATATTTTGAAAAAAAAATTTGATTTTGAAGTTTAACGTTGCTATAGATAAAGTTAGATTGTATGAAAATCTATGATCAAAACGAATCGATTCAACCAGCGACACTTTGTACACATAATATAATCGTAGGCTACATGTATCTCCTGATACAAGATACCTCTTTAAAAATACTTTATTACAAAGTAAATGGGAATTATGCGGATTGGATAAGCTTTCGAATTTAAAAGCTTCACGCACATAGGTTCCATGTAAGTCATTGGTTCTAAGATTCTTGAAGTTACTTACCCCTTTTCCTTTTGGTGAGGCCGCCATGTTGGAGTACTATTAAGTGACCAATGAGTTGATGATGATTTAAATCAAATATATCTTCCATGTTAAATTTTAAAAAAATATTTTACAAATACGATTATCTGAGACGAAATGTTTAGCATCAAAATAACACAGTGAGTCAAGTCACTTTTATTTTCTATACTTTTCAATGAATCTGTCTATTTCTTAGAATGAAATTATCTCCCCTCTTAAAGTTATCTACAAGACGATGATAAATTAAAGAGAATAAAAGACGATGATGCATTAAATTCAATTCCATAGGATGATAAACTATAAAGGAATAAAAGATGATGCTAGATTAGAGGGAATACAAGATGATGTTGAATTAAGGGAATACAAAACGATGATTGAAGAGTATACAAGATAATGATGAATTAAAGAGAATAGAGAATATAAGAAGATGGTGAATTAAAGGAATACAAGGTGATGATGAACTAAAGAAATACAAGAGGATAATGAATTAAAGGAAATACAATATAATGATACAAGACACGGCAGTGGCTATTTACCACTAGCGTGGTAAGAGTGGTAAATAGCCTGAAGTACCCTTACAGCTAAATAAAATTAGTTATGATTTGATATTCCGTTCTGCAAAAATTGCTTAAAACTACCTAAATATTCAAAATAACAATTTCGAATTCAAAAACTCATCATGTTCATCAAAAATTGGCTTTTTGAAAAAAAAATGTCGTGATTGTTTACAAATAAATGTCAAGGCCGGCTTTGAAGAGTTCATGGTTCAAGGCTTAATACTTCTCAATTCAAACCTATCTAAAAAGTTCCGCGTTGTATGAAATTTAGTGTTCATTCATTTGCTCTTTCGGCAATAGATCTTAATTACAAATTAGTCAAAATTTACTTTTAACCTTGTTAATGAATTGGTAAGCAGGCTTATTACAAGTATATCTATTCAAAATCAATTCAGTACTTATCTTCCCCAAATGATCCTTAGGGTATTTTGTTTGAGAATAATTTTTGAAAATAAATTCCTGCATTTTAACCAATTTGTCTTCTTATATTACTACTTTTTTTTCAAGTAACTACAGTGGCATATTTAGAGGGTAATGCCCCAAAAAGGGGACAAAGGTGCCCCTCACCCCCGTCAATGAAATCTTGGCTAAGCCAAATAATGTATATTTCCATAAAAATTGTAATGTCGGGTCCTATCGGTGTTAGGGTGATTTGAGAAAAAAAATCTCATAAAAGTGCAGGCCTAGGCAATGCTCGCCCCGAGTTCATTCGCCCTGGGTCCGTTCGCTTCACAATATTTTGTGATACAATAATCCATAATCCATAAGGTTTGAACAAAATGTTTATATATGTTATATTGTCGAAGTTTGTCACTTATGAATTAAAAAAGCTATCATGTGACTTAAAAACATACTGACTTTTAGTCTTTTATTCAAACCATTTCCAATTTGTCGTCCAGAAACTTGCCTTCACTAACAGATGTTGTTTCGCCAAACGATTCTATATTCCTTGAAGTGTCCAATATTAACATGAACTTCGAAACAAAGAAATGAATTATGTAAAAACCGCAAAAATTCCTTAAAATTCTCAAGAAAGTGGAAACATGGCCCACTTTTCGACTCGATTCATGCAGCATTGAACAATTTTATTGCAACCAGGACAAATAAATTTTTTTTAAAGGGACAGTTACGCCAATTTTTTAACCAATCATACTTTAGTCTCAGAAACGGGATTTTTTTGGCTAAGCCAATCAGTAATAGTGTTCACAGCTCACAATCAAAATTTGAGCCTTCAAACTCACGTGTGTCCAGAATTATCGTGTTGGAAATTATGATATAGAAGAGATCAGTAATAATACAGATATTGACAGTGTTGGACTGTAGTATGTAGTAGAGGTCAGTAATAATACAGATATTGATAGTGTTGGACTGTAGTATGTAGTAGAGGTTAGTAATGATACAGATATTGATAGTGTTTGACTGTAGTTTGTAGTAAAGGTCAGTAATAATACAGATTTTGATAGTGTTGGACTGTAGTATATAGTAGAGTTTAGACGTTTAGTAATGATACAGATATTGATACTGTTTGATTATTATGTAGTCAAAGTCAGTAAAATATAGCTATTGATAGTATTTGACTGTAGCATGTTGTCTAGGCCAGTAATGATACAGATATTGATAGTGTTTAACTGTAGTTTGTAGTAGAGTTTAGTAATGATACAGATCTTGATAGTAATTGACTAATATCTGTATCATTAGCATAGTTTCTATATATAACTCTATGATCATTAGTCACCTCAGCAAGATACTACAGTCAAACACTATCAATATCTGTATTAGTACTGACCTCGACTACATACAACAGTCACACACTATCCATATCTGTATCGGTATGCCTGAAAACCACAGTCACCGATATTAAATATGGCGGATATTTTCCTTAGCTACGGATATTAAAATACTTATTTTAGTGTGCCAACAATGTGAAATGTGCACAATATTTATATTTTTGAAACCTAAACAGTGTGATTTTTTGAAATATTAAAAAAAAGTTGGATAAAATCCACCAAATAAAAATTTAAATAAATTTTTTCTCCATAGACTAATATGGTGACATTGGCCTAATTTAACAAGTTACCACGCCGTGGTATATAGCTGTAAGGGTACGCTTACGCTTACGGTAAATAGCCACTGTCTACAAGACACTGGAGAATAAAAGGGACCACGCGATAATGATGAACTAAAGGGAATGCAAAATGATGACTTACTTCAAGTAATAAAAGACGATGATGGATTAAGGTGAATACAACTACAAGATGATGATGTATTAAAGGTAATACAAGATAATGGTGAATTAAAGAGAATACAAGGTGATGATGAATTTAAGGAAATACTGGAGGATGATATATTAAATGGAAGATGAGATGATGATAGATTAAAAGGAATACAGAATGATGGTAGATTGGCGGGTTACCCGTAACAGAAGAACCTCTTGTTCTTGAATTGTGTATAAATTGCCCTATAATTCCTTTGTATCTGGGTAACATTCAAGTAAATGTGCACTAATATAAGGATATCAATCATTAATATTCAGGCTAAAACAAAAGTGGATTTAAAACCATTTATTGGGATCAAAATTAAAATTTAAAGTTTTTGACATAGCTTTATCACAGTCATGTTATTACAACGTATATCAGTTAGTTCTCAGTTTGTTATCATCAGTTTTATATGGTAGCTTTTATCTCAAACACCATTTTAACCCTCATGTCAAGCCTATTCCCATATATTTTCAACATCTTGGACTGGTATGAAAAATAAATAACGTAGATGTTTTAATGTTTTAAATGTAGAAGTAGGCTTGTCTATAACGTTCAAATTTAACTTAGATTTGAGGAATTTTCATAGCCAAAACTATTTGCATGCAACTTGAAATTTGAATTTAACTTATATAATAAATAAAGTCCAAATTAAATTATAATGGACATAATACTTCAACATAAAAACAAAACCTACAAGCACTTAATTCCCAGCTTCCAATTGATGGGCATACTATTAAATTTAATTGTCTCTCTTGTCCTTACATACATAATATTTTATATACATTGTGTAGTAAAAATAGTAGTAGGTTACTTTATAACACTATTATATATATAACCTGTATGTAACACTGCTATATAGTATACATAACTCTTATCTTCTGTTGAAACTGACATTGAAACTTATACTTGTAAAAGCACTCAGTTATTCTTACTTAACTAAATTTAGTCAAAATTAGTCTATAAATTGTCTTATTTTTGAGCTAAGAAACAGCACAATTTGAAAATTTTCACTGAGTAAAATGTTTATCCACATGTGATATTTGCAGGTAAAAAGTGATCTTACATATTCTTAATGGTAAGATTTGATATACATAAACATAAGAAATCAACAGTGCTTTAGTAGAAAATATCAATAACACTCTAACATCCTTGATAGTTGTAAATATTGCAGTCTAATAAGAGTTTCCTATATTACCACCTCACAGACAAAAATAAAACATCTGTTAAAAAATGTTGATTCAAATAACATATTCAATCTTAAATTCAAATTTTGCTCTGAAATCACTGACCCTGAATCATAAAAGACATTCTCGGCAATGATAAATTTCAAGAGATTACAATTCAATCCTCTTTGCCAGTGTTTGTCCTGTACAGCTGAACCTAATTTATATAAGAATTGTATATGATCAACAGAAAATTTCAAAATTAGAAGATATCTATTTTAATCAGAACTTACAAACAATAACTATGGTCTAACAATGGCTCATTAGCCACTTCTGTTTATTGGAATCACTAGGATGTGATTGGCCATAATTTGTTTGAAGTAACCAATCAGATGTATTTGTTTCTTTATGATGGTTTTTGATATCATAGCTTCTGGACTCATTATCGTTACATTCTCTTAACATTGGGGATTTTAACCAGGTATCATTGGAACATTGACTGTTGAAAATTTCTTCAAAATTAATATCTTTAACCATACAATTTGTATTTAACCAACACTCGGGATCTCTGGTGATTTCTTCGAACAGTGGAAAGGACACCTTGAAATCTTGGTTATTGGTAGTACGTGCCTTTTTGGGACTTAACCATTTCTCATCAATTTCCATTGCTTTATTTTGGCAGGGGTCTTTGTCATCTTGGTTTTTAGTTATCAACCAATGGTTGTTATCTGTGATACCAATATGTTGAAAACCACAATGGGGGCTACAAACACAATCTACAAAACCATCACATAACTCATTAGCCTTACAAACATCTAAAACATGTGGCATCTCCAAATCTGTCTCTGATTGTAAACAACGTTGTTTATCCTCTGTTGAACAAGAAGATTGATATCCAGATGTATTAGTTGTACATATAAGGTTGTTTAATCTCTCACCAAGGTTCTCTATATCAGTTGTTAATCCTGGTTTACAGTCTTCACATGCCTACAAAATAGATGTTCACACATTATTAATAAAATTAACTATGATTCAATTAGAGTCTACAATCCTAATGTTAAAATTTTTAACTGATGAAGGCCATGTTAAATTTAATTTGATCTACAAAATCATTTTGACAGATATATAGCTTTTACAAAAAATACCGTATAGGAATTTATATGGGTAGTAATATTGATTGAACAAAAAAATAACGAAATATCGCCATATCCTGATATATGGTAGTATCCTGCATATTGTAGTCAGAGATCACATTGTTTAAGGGACACAATCGTTTGCTATACTAGCTTACAGATAACTTTTAACTTTCTGTAAATCTTTTCAACTTTCTAAAATTTCTTCCATTAATATCATAAATATCCAGATTTTATGACTTCATCAGTTTTAACTGTTTAATCAGCTGATAAGAAAATATAGACTCTACTTGATACATCTGTTACAAATGATCAGGATTGTTTATACACAATCTGGATATTTTGTATTATGGAATTACAAATCTCACCTTTTTCTTTTCTATTTGATGAATCAACCATACATCAGGATCAGATGGTACATGTTGAAAAAAATCATAAGGTTTATCTTCTGGTGTAGATCTGTTAGTTTTTAACCATGATTGTACTGCAGTAGGGAACTCAAGATGTATTAGATCTAGATTAGTAACTGTTGGTTTGACTGGTATACTATCAGGTATACTAGTATAACTATCACTGGATGCTGAAAGTTAAAATAAACCTTGATATCAAATCATCGCAACTTTAAATTTTTATTCACGCCACAAAGGTCAAACACAGTATACAACAAGGTTGAAGTTGATGCCAGATTTCATTAAAGGTATGCAAGTTTCTTTAAATAACGGTCCACACCAGTCAAGGTATTTCTATTTTCTAAATAAGCTGGGGCTCAATTTATTGGGAGAGTGAACACTAGCCCCTTAGTGGAGTATTTTTAGTCAAAAATGTCTTAAGCAACACATAGTTAATACAAAAAATGTTCTTATTTACCTGTACTTAGGCCAGAATTATCCACAATTTCAAAATCTTCTTCTTCTTCTGGGTCAGCATACTGTTTAATCTGACACAACCAATCTTTAATACTAGCATCACTAGATATAGTACGTAATGTAGGTGAAGACATTCCCGGTGTACTAGGAGATTTCTGACGTATCCAATCTAACCAGTTGGAACTAAATGGAGGGAAAGAGAATCTTGGGGTACTATCTGTACTTGTAGTTGTTGTAGTAGTATTAGTAGAATATAACAACCAATCCTCAGCTTTAGTTGATAGTTTTGGTATATTCACGTAAATCTGAAAATGTAAAATTCAAATATAAGGGATTCTCTTTTTGAAGGAATTACTTGAAATTTTTGCAAAACTCTGATTACTGTCCTTTTATCTAGCCTAAAAAAAGTTTTATATCAATTAAAAGAATAAAACTTGTTTTTAGGTACATAACTAAAAATTAATATTGCTTAAAAGACATTTTTTTAAGGAATCTATAACATAAAGATAATTTACAAAACACATGACCTATGTATAGCATGGGGAAAAAACATTGTTTAATACAAAGAAAAAGTATTAAGAAATTGGCAACAACCTACCATTTTGAACATACCCCGTAAATCCATATACTTAATGTAATTTAGAAATTAAATTAGAGGAAGGTCACACAAAATCTTTAAAGTAGTAAAATAATAATTATTATAAACTCTTCCTTCTCAGAACAATATAAATTAGCTTAAACACAGTTTGATTCATTTGTAGTTATTTTGTTTAGGTGAATAATTTCTTTTGAAAGATAAATATTATTATCAGGAAGTAAATAATAAGTACAACTGGTCAATAAGTGTATCTTATTTTATCAAACAAAACAAGTGGTTGCCTAGCAAGATACACCCACAGATGGAAACTGTACTCTCTATTGTGTTCACAAACAAATTTTGACGCGTTTTTCATAAATCATAAATAACTCAAAACCGTTCATTGAAAGATTGTCAAATTCAAACATGTCTAAGATTGATCACACCAAATTTCATTTAAATCGGATGAAAATTGTGGTCTCTTTTGTGCGTTTTTCCTAAGTGAAGGGCAATAACTCCAAAACCGTTCTTCGAAAGATAGCCAAATTTGAACTTGTCCAAGATTTCATCATTAAAAATATTAACACAAAATTTCATTTAAATTGCATGAAACTGTACTCTCTATTGTGTTCACAATATAGCTAATACAGTGAAAAGTCAAGTCAGACATGATATTTCGGTGAAAAATTATCCGATCATCACGAAAATCGATAGGGATCATCTTCATAATGACATTGACACACAAAATCAAAATCAAAAGAATCTGTAAAGAATTGTAGCCTGTAGAGTAAGCTCGAGTTGCACAATATATCTAATAGAGTAAAACGTCAAGTCAGACACGATATTTCGGTGAAAAATTATCTGATCATCATGAAAATCAATAGGGATCATCTTCATATTTCTGGAGACTATTTACTATTCAACATTCAAGTCAACCCTCAAAGATAGTGGACCACAGTCATATTCACCCTTCACGGCATGTGGATGGTAAAAACGAAACATTCATTTTAAGTTTCATCAAAATCGGTTGAAAACTAAGAGAGTAATAGTATATTCAAGATTTTGGGGCAAGGGCAATAACCCTGCTTCAAACGGTCGAAAATAGCTCAAATTTGAACTTGATCCTCGTTTTATGAATGTGTATACACATACCGAATTTCATTTGATTCCATAAAATAATCTAGTTTTTAGAGCGTTTACAAGCAAATGTTGACGGACGGACAGAGATGCCGGCAATATACGTCCACATAGAGAGATGTGGGCGTATAAAAATGCAGCAACCGTCCCTGTAATTGAAACTCTTATTTTTGTTTTCAAATTCAATTTTCATGTTTTTTATTTACACTATTGTTACATCACCATTTATGTTTTATTGATTGTAAAAATAAACAAAATTTTTGTTTTTTTCAACCATATTTTATTCACATAAATATGAAAAGGATTGGGGAGCAGGCTTTCGCCTATATAACCTCTTTCCTTAAGACAAAAATTTTGCTACAAGAATGAGAAATGAATTTTTGTCCTGTTTCCAAACATTTGATACCATGACATTTCAGTTCATTGGCATCTTGGATTTAGGAGAGGTAAAAATGGCTGTCAGGAGAATACCTGAAGAATTCCAAAAAGACATGATATCATAATGTGTTCTTAAAAAATCACTTTGAAACCAATATACCAATCTCTATAATTACTCTTATTGACCCTCTAAAAGAAATACCACAAAGACAAACCCGAAAATTACCAGATAATGTCATTAGGTCATCTCTTTATTTTCTAAGGTTAACTGAATTACTTACACCACAGTCTTCATTCTGTTTATTATCACTGACAGTTTTATAGAAAATATGATGATCAGGACCTTCATAATCCTCAAAATGTCGTGGCAATGTCTGTGATTCTGGTTCATGGAAGGCACCACTTAAAGGCATACCATTAGCATCAACATGACCATAATTTAGAATAGTGTTCCGTAAATCACTAGGATCAGCTCTAAAGGTAAAGAAAGCTGTTTCTTCTGGATTTAGATCATTGAGGTTAATGTCTAGCCTAAAACAGATATCAATAAATTCATAAAATACAAAATAAAGATAATAAATTGCAGCCATCAAAAGGAAACAGTCAATCAGTGTGATAAACTCTGATCAAGATTAATTTATTACACCTACGGAGTATTTTAACAATCAAATTTGCATATTGAAAAATATTCTGCTTGTGATAATTTTTCTGTCTTAAGAACAAACTGATGAAATTTTCATAAAAAATGTACTGGTACCAGTATATATAATACAAAAAGATAGAGAAATTAAGATTATTAAAATCATACTTACTTCTGGAGAGTTTCTACTAAGATAGAATTAGAGTTCGAATTAGAATCAGCTGTTAAACCTATGGTACTCTGTAATACTCCTAACATCTTGTTTAATCTAGCTTGTTGAGCCTGTAACACTGCTTCTTTAGCACTAAAAACCAAATCAACTTGACTCAACAACCAAACTTCACGGTTTCTTAATGATTCTAAATGACGACTCATTGTAGTTTGAACTTGACCTTTAATCTGTGATGAACAACCAAATATAACATGTAATAAGTTAATTAATATTGATTAATGCCATGATGGAAGACAAAGGAAATTGATTTCTCTTTCTATATCTCACTTTCTTAAGATACATCTTATTTCATTTCATTTATTCTTATTTGAACAAGATCTTTCTTCTGAAACTGGTGCAACCAGAAAATTAATTTATAAGTTTGCATCATGAATAGAACATAGTGATTGGAGAAAGAGTAGTCACTAATGTTCACAATTTATATCAATCTGTAATTGAATAAATGTTATTAAACAAATAGAAAACAGACATTTTATACATACATGACTATTCCCACCACCTAGTTAACATACTGTGTTGACAGATGTGACATAATAATATTATTAGGTCTATAGATAAATATATATTCACCTCTGTAGCATTATGTAATAAATGACGTTTCACAGCATCTAATTGTTTGATAGCCTTTTCTAACTGTTCTATTTTATCATTTATATCGGAATCCATTTTGTTAGTTCTATATAATACAGTAGCTGTAATCTGAAATAAATATATGATATAATTATCAGTTATCACCTAAATAAAGGTGACAACATTTTTTTTCCAATAAATTAATGTTCGCTTTCATAGTCATCATTATCAAGAACCCATTCATCAATGACTTGAGAATTTGGAAAATAACCAATTACTCTACAATCACTGTGGTCAGAATAACATTTTGCTTACTATTTTTATGCATATTGAAATATCAACTAACTAATTTTCAATAAACTACCATTTAAATTTACATAAAAATACTTTGGTTGACCAACCCATTTCAAATGTCATATGGATGTCATGATTTCTCAAAAATTTGGGAATTTAAGATGTAGGTGAAATTGATTTGGTTTACTTTGGTGTAGTTTGTAAAAGTTCATATTATCTCACCAAAAGGTAGCCTGAATAGATCTAGTCTATTCAAGAAATATCGGGTTTAAGGGTAAAACACGGTTTTATAGCTTAAGAGCAAATACATAATAAACTATATATTTTACAAATTATATGATTCAAATTATTTTTTTGTCAAAAGTGACAACTATGCAGACATAACAAAAAGCCTAGTTGGAGTAGAGTGGCTTGAACTGAAGTTGAAAAGTTGTGGTTTCTCCAGATTTAACTCTACATAATAGTTAAACTCAATTCTGTGAATTACAAATGATATAATTAAAAGAGAATGCATAAAAACCACCCACAGAAAACTATAATTCTGAGAAATAATATTTGTAGATAATTAGATATTGACAATCTGTTACAATGTTATTTCATGGAATTTATACAAGAGAAAACCAATGAACTCTTCCTGAAAGAGACATAGGCTGCCAAAAATACTCAAGCAAAACTATCGAAAAACTTATTAACCTTTGAATAGAGATAGTACCAAAAAATCAGAAACTTTCTAACACCTTTCTGATCATTGTATGTACGTTTGTTCTCCGAAGACGAAATTCACTCAACACAAATCAACCAAATTTTTTACAAGATGAACTCGTCCACATCCCAGAAAAGGAATCGAGGCTATATTAATAATGACTGTTCTCGGAATTTTCTAGATTTCAATACAAGGAAACGCTGGGACGTGTCTAGTTTAAGTACATGCATATATAAACATACATTAAAAATAAATAGGCTACTCACGAATTAAGATTAGGAAGAAATGTTTTCTAGATTTTAAAGAGTAAACGTGACGTGAGGGTAGAAATGATAATGGTGGAGTACGTCATCCAAAGTCACATTTTCTAGCCAATCAAATTCTGATAAACAAATCACTGACTGTCGGGCACCTGTTTCATACAGTGATTCTGATTGGTTTGCATATCACGACGAAAGAACATGTTGCTACAGAAGCCTGACAAAGCGAAAGTAAAGAATGTGTCAGGAAACGTTGTAAATCGTGTTACTTGTCAATCTTACATTAACAACGATTTGCCTAATTTGGTAATATATTATAATGTTTAAAATATAATAGACCAAAGATCAGTAACCTGTAACCTGACCTATCTATATGTACCTAAGTTAATAAAATTTTTTTATATTTTTTTCTAATATTGGTTCTGTTGTAACTTTATGACAGCAGGTAAGCTAACTGATGAATATAAAATCATATTGACCTTTTGCAGAACTTAAATTTTATGTTCATTCTAAGAGGTACCGGTAGTATCAAATTAGATTTGGAATAACAGCCTCAGTCAGTGTCAGATGGTACTGTTACTAGTTAGTGTTGGGTATTATAGACAATTCTCTCCTATAGAAGCACTGGCTGAGGTCACAAGAAGAGAACATACTTCTTTTACATCAGTTATCAATTTGAGTAATAAAGAATAAATTGAAATGGTACTATAATGTTCTGCACTGCGTTCATAGAGAAATTACAACAATATAAATTCTGAAAAGTTTGTTTTAGAATGTACCGTATTTGCGTTGATAAAAATAGAATTTTTTTTAAGTTTATATTGAAAAGAAACACATTTCCCTCTAGAAATTTCAACCCAAAAATACCTTAAATTTTGGCAGAAAATTGTCTTCTGTAAAAACAAATTTAAGTATGCTCATGTTTATATTTTCATTAATGCAAAGACGTTCCAAGACTAACAGCTAGTGGAAACACAAGATGAGTCTACATGTTTAGTAACAAAAATTTATGTTATGCTTTCAATCTTCACAATATCAAGCTATTATGAACTTTGTACTTCTACCTTGACTGCAAAAATCACTATTCTTGTATCCCGAAATGCAGCGATTTGATTGGATTTTACAACAGCGAATACAGCCAATCAGAGCCCTCGAAAGAAAGGCTGTAAACATAATGGCTGTATTGGTCTGTATCAAATTCCCTCATTTACCCCATCATGATAGAAGGATAACTATTGCAGTCAACTAAAAGTACAAAGTTCGTAATAGCTTAACATTGTGAAGATGGCTCATGTTATAATGAAGATGCTTTCATCACAAACTAAGGATGGGTATCGATTGAGATCAATTATCAACAGCATGCTACTGAACAATAATCGATTATTAATTGACATATTTTAAATGAGAATTCTTCTAAATACTTAATAAAATCATGTCCAAATTTTTAATTTCTTGTGTTCTTTTATATGCCCACACATTAATGTTTGTGTATATAGCTGTCACCTATGTCTGTCTGAATGTCTAAAGTGAGTCTAAGTTCATAAAATTGCCGGCGCCCCTGTCTGTCGTTAATTGTTGTGGACGCGATAAAGAAATGGTTTCTTGATGGATTTTGACGAAACTTGGTGTGAGTGTTTGTAATCACCCAAGGATGAACAGTATTGAAAATCAGACCAATTGAAAAATATTTAATATGAGTTATTGCCCTTGTTCTTGAAAATTTATTGTGGACACGATACAGAGCTGGTTTCTTAATGGATTTTAATAAAATTTGGTATCAATTTTTGTTATCACCTGAGGATGAAACCTGTAAAATCAGACAATTTGAAAATTTTTTTATATGAGTTCTTGCCCTTGTTCTTGAAAACACATTCAATTTTTAATTGAAAATGTGTTGAGGTTGCAATAGTGAGCTGGTTTCTTGAGGGATTTTGATAAAATTTGGTGTTTGTTATCACCTAAGGATGAACCCTATTGAAAATCAGAATTTAATATGAGTTAATGCCCTTGTTCTTGAAAACCAATTCAATTTTTAACTTGTGAGTAGTCTCGAAAGCACAATTCTGGACAGATTTAGGCAAAATGTGGTGAAATTATTAATTATTTCCCAATTTAGATATTAAAAAAAAACCTTAAGAAGTATTTAATATGAGTTATTGCCCTTGTTCTTGAAATCACATTCAAGGCACAATTCCCAACAGATATTAAAGAAACTTGGTTGAATCACCCAACCTTATTGAAAACCCTTGTTATTAAAAATTTGTTCAATCTTTAGCTCGTTAAACTCCAGAAGCCAAAATTCTTGACTGATTTAGATGAAACTTGTTGAAAATTAAAAAAAGAGTCTTTGAAAAGCTGTGCAGTATGAAAATGTTACTCTCAAAATATTTAATTTTTTGATAGCTCATTGTCAACCGCCTGAATGACTTGGCTGCCATTACAATGGGTCATCGCTAATTTTTATATCATTGAAGTATTATATGATTATTTGTTGCTTTGATCAGTTGTTATAGTTGTTAATATGGGTATTACTGAGAGCAAATCTTGTTTTACAGATGAAATGAAAAAGTGAAAAATAATGGGAGCTTATACAAGTAGTTTTGTTGTTGAACCATCAAGAGAGAATGCAGTTAGTAAAACAACCAATCCACAGAAAGCTAACTGGATTACCAGTCATGCCATTGCTACTGAATGTAAGTTTTTTTGCTGTTGCAATTAGGCCTACTAATGTGTTGTCTAATATTTTATAGTGTAAATGGTCAGTGTATAATTATTTATTGATGAAGTTAATTTGTGGGTCAACATATCTATAGCAGAGAATGTCATTCAATGATAGTAACAGTCTGTAACCTTAGATTGTCCTTATTTCCAGCAATTATAGCAGGTTGTGTTTAGATAGACATGTCTTGTTAGATTTAAATATGGTATGACACATGAAACAATACTCAATTTAAATAAGATAAAGAGAAGTCCAATTGAATGTTTAAAATGTAATCTGTATTGTTTCAGTAACTATAGCTGAAGTGGAACGTCTATGGCTACGTTTTCAACAGTTAGGATGTACTTCTAATGGCATTTTGACCAGTGACACGCTAAAAGAACCAAAATTAAATGATGATGCTTTTATACGAAATGTAAGGTCATGATATAAGTTTATATTATTTTTGACTGAGAACTAATTAACATTCATTGGATTTATATAATGCTGATTAAATATTTGAGAATAAAGAGATGCTGAGTTAACAATACTTCTATTTACAAATGATGTCTTGATAAATATTGACCTATAAATACCAAATAACACCATTTTATGACAATGTTATTTTTAGTTTTTGAGAACTTTTAAATGTAAAGATGGTTCAATGACTTTTGAAACATTTTTGCGTGGCTTGAAATGGTGTGAATCTCAAGGTTTAGAAACTAAGATTAGAGGTTAGTATGAATTGTCATGTCTCTATAGTATGAAACTCTATATTAAATTGTACACCTCCAATTGGGAACCGGCAGATAAGAACAATTCCAGCATTCCTTATAAGACTGAGGTTTACTGTCAGGATCACGAGGAAATATATTATTGTTGTTTGTCGCTTCCTATCTTTAGAACACTTGAAATGCATGTTTGTGTTCCAGTATTTATATACATGTATATTTTTTATAGCAATATTCAAAATGTTGAATAATGGTGGTCCAATAACCAAAGATATGTTTTCTAAAATAGCTAAAAGATTATATACAGATGATACTCAAGTAAGTAAAATACTTCAGTAATGATTGAAATAACTCAACATAACTTTACCATACCAAAAACATCCCGGTCCTACTTTTCCTTAGCAGTCTTTCCGTTTACAAAGTTTGGGAAGTGTTTTGAAAATGTAGAGGATACTGATCTTATTTCAGGAAAATGTTAAAAGAATAACTGATATCTTTTATAAACAGATGGGGGCTGATGCTACAGGTAGATGCATTCAAAATGTTTTTATAACCTTATCAAATTTACATAACAATTATTCGATATTACTTTAAGTTAAATAATCAGAATAATGTTAAATTCATGAATACTACCCTGTAGAACAATTTTTTTTATATTTGATGAAGCACGTCATAATTTTGCAGGAGTTCTTGAAGAAGATCAGTTTGTAGCTGGAGTATTGAAATTACCAAAAGATACAGTAGAATCAGTCTTAAATTTCCATATATTACCAGAAAAAACAAGAGATGGTGTTTATAAGAATTTGCCAGAGGTAATATTGTTGGAAAACATTTGGTTCTAAAGAAACTTTTATATGCAATAATTAGCTCCAAATGACTAATTTGGATTCTAAAACTTAGATATAATGAGTGCTTAAATGGAGCGAAATACAGTGTTCATGTTGTTAGAACCTAATTATTATTGCTTGGTTTTATAAACTGAATTTCATGTATCTGACAAATAATTGGAATTCATGATTTCCAATGGTTCATGATTTTTTAATTGACCTTTGTTTTAGCCAAAATACATCAGAATTGTTTGAATGTGAATGGGAAGACTATTTCATTAAATTTAAAGTTTTTTTAAGGAGTTACTGCCCTTTATAATTTTCTGCTGTATGAAGCCCATTTCTTTTCAGTTTAAAGGAGAAAATAATAATACTGCAAGATTACCTATACAAACACCATTATCAGGTCATCGACCTGTCACTATGTCTCCTGTGAGCCAAGTACCAACAGACTCTGTCCTTAGACAAATTGCTGAGAAAATTCATAGGAGGGACTGGGATATGGTGGCCAATAAATTAGGCTTTTATACCAAAGATGTAGAAAATTACAGAAAGATCTATCCAGGAAATTCTAAAGAACAGGTAAATGGAACATTCCACAATCTATGCAAATTTGTTATGTGGAAAACTTAAAACCAATTAATTGAAAAATTCATAATAAAGGTTTGGTGTGGGTGTTTGAGTTCCTTAATATTTATAAATGACTTTTTTATTGAAGGTTTCAGAAATGTTTAAAGATTGGAAAATAAGAGATGGTCATCAAGCTAAAGGAAGTATTTTAGAGAGGGCTTTACGTGATGCTGGAATGGTAGATGCATCTTTACTGTTATCATGATATAAATGAAGAATAAGACAGGAATGACATGTCTTGTTACCTGTTTTGTGTGTTAATACTTTTGATATTAGCATAGAAATGTTTAATTTTTATATAATATTTTCATTTAATATACATGTATGTTAAATATTATTACTTTTAAATAGGGTGAATAAGAAAATAAAAGTGCCTTTTTCATACATTATAACCACTGAGGAAAAATTTTGTGTAATATCCAGCATAAGTTATGGAATCGTGTCCAATCCACACCCCCATTCGTAATACTTCCTCAAATAAGACCAAAACCCGTATTCGTGATACGTTGAAGTTGTGGCAACATTGTTTTAACTGAAAGTGAACTTTCTTGTACATTAGTAGACTGTTCAGCAATATGCTTTAAGATAGTCATATTTAAGGGCGTTGACGGGTCTATTTCATGTTATGAAAATATGAAAAACTGATTTCTTAAGAATTGTTACAGTCCTTCTCTTTAGTTTAAAGTTGAATTTTATAAATGTTTTGACTGTTCTTCAAACATGTCATGAAAATTGGATATTTTAACCCTTCCAGATTAAAGAAAGATGAATGGATCAATCTCCGTCAATCTTGACATATCAGAAGACAATTATTATCTGAAGATTTGGAAAGTCTCCCCATTTTACAGGGCCTATTTTTTTCGTCTACACCAGCCAAACGTAGTCCAAATAGCTATAAGATTTGATATGCATTGTTAGTTTTCATCTTAATATATGCAGATGGAAAACAGATTAAAAGGTAGAAAATCATTCTGAAAACATAGGCGAATACGCCCACCAGCAGCTTGATAAAGAGCTAAATGTGAACTGTAAAACAAACCTTATATCGCAGCCTGTAGAGTGAGCACGAGCCAAAAAGTGAAAAAAAAACCGCGATATCAGAGTTTTATGCGATATCACTCAAGAAAATCATCGGATCCCCACCAAATTCAATAGTGCACATCTTCATAATGATATTGACACACATACAAAAGATCAAAAGATTCCATTGAGAATTGTAGGCTGTAGAGTGAGTACGAGCCAAAAAAGTGAAGAAAAAAAAAACAACAAACGCGATATCAGAGTTTTATGCAATATCTCTCAAGAAAATCATCGAACCATCACCAAATTCAATATTGCACATCTTCATAATGATATTGACACACATACAAAAGATCAAAAGAATGAATAGAGAATTGTAGTCTGTACAGTAAGCATGAGGCAAAAAAGTGAGAGAGAAAAAAAAAGAACGCGATATCCGAGTTTTATGCGATATATCTCTCAAGAAAATCATCGAATCATCACCAAATTCAATATTGCACATCTTCATAATGATATTGACACACATACAAAAGATCAAAAGAATTCATGGAGAATTGTAGTCTGTAGAGTGAGCACGAGGCAAAAAAGTGAGAGAGAGAAAATAAGAACGCGATATCCGAGTTTTATGCGATATCTCTCAAGAAAATCATCGGATCATCACCAAATTCAACAGTGCACATCTTCATAATGATATTGACACACATACAAAAGATCAAAAGAATCCATGGAGAATTGTAACCTGTAGAGTAAGCACGAGGTAAATGTGAACGAGTGGACCGACAGGGGCAACTACAATATACGCCCATATTTACGTGTGGGCGTATAAAAATGAAAACCTCCCACATCAAAGCGACATTTTTTTTCTCGATCTCTATTACATTAATTACAGATTCTAGGCGTACATGATCTATTTACATCATAGAGTTTCTATTGTATAACTCTATGATTTACATATATATGTTCTAATTTTTCTCAAAGGACAGTTAAGTATATTTCATGAATCACAAAAAAAACATCTTAATTTTGGAAATCCCATCTTTTAACACAAATATAGCACATTAATAATGGCGCGAAAATGTGGAATTTGGCATGAAGCCAATTAATTGTTCAAACCAATGAAATTAGCTGATTCAACGTCTTCAATCCAATCAAATATCCCCTAACATGTGGTCATGGAACGAACACGACACATATGTAGTCTTGAATGTAAGGTATTTCAAAAAGAGTAAAGGTAACGAGAGTCTGGATAATCAAACCTTTAACGCCATTTGTCATGTGATTGTACGCCAATGGAGTCAATATGGCTTTACTACAGCGAATATTTCATCGAAAGAAAAATAACCGAAGCCCGTTTTTAAGTAGAAGTAATGGAGACCAATCTGTTCAGTAAGTTTTGAGATTGTTTTAATGAAGAAAAATACACCGGTGGGAGAAACTCTAAAAAAAACACGTAAACATGTTATTGTGATCACGAGGTCGAGGGTCATGTGATTACAGTTTCGATGTAAACAAAGATGACTTATTAGGGCAAAGTCTGATTTTATGTTATTCGAATAAAATAATAAAGATTTGGTGATTATTTTTAAGATATTTAGCAATCGCAAGGTAACTCATAGTAGTAGTAACTAGTTTCTCTGTGATAGATCTAGACTCATGAATTAGGCCTATCAACTTTTGATTTAATCACACTACTACTCTACACAGAGACAGACGTACAGTCCGTAGCTTAGTTAACTCACTCTCATATGATCGGCACGTGGTGTCACGAGTTCATCAATTGATTAATATACCTCTCAAAGGTAGTAATGAAGGGTCACCGCGCCTTTTTTTACTATGATTGTTCAGATTATGACACCTTATCACAAGGTGGTGCAGGACATGTGATAGATTATGTTTATACTTGTGTAGTACTAATGATATGGTTGAGTTAAGACCTCTCTTTTTGATCTGATACTGGTACATACATCCTACAAGTCTACTGATCAGAATGGTGCAGATTCTAAGTTCTCATTTTGGGCATCAAAATATATTTGCATCATGGAATATTTGGAAGAACAATAATGGGTAAGGATATGATCACATAGGCCTACATTGCATTATCTTTTCAGATACGATTCAACATGTAATGAAATAATTTGGGTTATTTTGAAAAGGCGAAGACTGCACTATAGAGGAATTGATAATTATAGATTTTTCTGAATTGTTTTGTTGGTTTTATATATTCAGTCAAAGTTGGTTGATTACTTTCAGGAAAGACTTTTGTAAATTTGATAAAGAGAAAATTAGGTTAGTGATTTATAAGGAAGACAGAGGGAGAACACCGTTATATGACTCAACCTGTATAAAACTTATAGAAGATGTATCTCCAGTAAGTAATGATAGGTTATTGTGACAATATTTTCTCAAAGCCAGATGTAGTGCAGGATGATATTGATAGTAATTCCTGCTGCACAATTATAGGTATTAAATTGACGTCTTTTCTATCCATTTATAACAAATCGAAAAATAATGAAACACCGGTCTGGACCTGAAATAGTACAGTGGTGTAACCTATTTTCGTGGATAGAAGGATTCAACACCGAATTTCGTCAAAGTTAGAAAAACGGAATTTTTTTTTATGCCTTTGGTATTTCCTCAAATATTCCTCAAAATAATTAAAATTGGTTTATTTAGATTTTCTTTATGAATCCTTCACTTTGACCAATATTTCATGAGCAACCAACTCGGCAACGGCAGCAGAATGCGTCACCTATTTTCGTGTACAATGTTTGATCTATAAATAAGTCTAGAAAAACACGTTGTATGGATACCCAGTGGTATAATTAACTTCTCTTAGTATTTATCTTTAATATCAATTCATTATAACTAGTGACAATTCCTTCAACGAACCACGATTTTAAAAAAAAATAGTGACTGACAAAATAAGATACGTAGCGTGATATATTGCTAAAAGTCACTGAAACAACATAAGAATATGGTCCACTTTGTGTTCCATTAGAAATTTTCTGCTAACACGGAATCCGCTAGTTGATCACGTGACTTCATTTGTTGGACTACATTCTAGCAGACGACACCTGGAATTCCGATTACTGCTTGGGATTATAAGGAAATTCGGTGACGTTTGGTAATAACTGAAATCCGCCATTATGTATTTGTCAAAGTATACATTAATACATTTTACCTCGCTTGAAACTACTCGATTCATTCTACAAGCTGATATTGTAGAGAAAACCCATGTCTAACAAAACAAGCAAATGCGGAGGTCACACATGTAAATTATTAATCCTTTCCAGAAATCCACGAAAAATAGGTTTCCACGAAATTAGGTTACTTGACTGTATATGTACTAAACTGAAAAGCATGTTGAAATGCTACTGCATATCAATTATTCCCAATGAACATTTGAAATTAATAGATGTTTTATTTCCTACTTATCTCCACCTGATCTTTGCTACTGAGAGGCTGATAGTGTACAGACCCAATATATCTTGATTGAGTTTCAGCTTAGAGTAACTAGATATTAGCTCCACAAAATATCTTTTACTTAGTTATTGTTATGTGTTGATTTCAGGTTCCACCAAGAAGGATCTCTTCAAATAAAACTTATTTTAATCATGGACATAAAGTTTCTAAAGATCCCTCACTGATACAAAAACCACATTCAGAACAGAAATGGAAATATCAAGTAAGCCCTAAACATTGATTTATACATATACCCTTATTATATACTTTTAAGTAAGCATTTAAACTAAAGTTATATCAATGGATTGGGAGTGAAGGTTATAAATAAATTTAGGTTTAATATTTCTTGACTGTATGTTGAATATTTACACTATAATGAACAGGAACTGATATATAATATATAGTTTATGATGCTTAATATATTCATATATTTCTATAACAGAAATTGGGTTCAGATGTAAAAGTTATTGAAGAAATGATGTTTGGTTCAGTAGCTATGGCTTATAAAGGTTCATTATTTAAAGTTCATCACATAAGGTATGGTATTGTCAAGGGTGAATTTTGTTTGCCCATTTATGTGATCTTCAGATGAAGTCGGTGCTGTAACTAAACATTTATCAGGTATTTTCCAAATAATTTTGAACAAGCTAGTTTTCAATGATGTAATGTTAGATACATGTACTGTAGAAAGAATTTGACAAACATATAATATTATCTAGAATGAAATTTTATTTGTTAATCAATATATTTTAGGACACCATCACAACTGATGTTGACTAAAGTTTATATCCCTGAAAAACCTAAAAGGGAGTCTGGATGGTAAGATTTTTTTTTGTAATTAAATACAATGATTTAGATCAAATAATCGAGGTCATTTACACTGTATACTACTGTGTACTTTTTGTATTTCAATAATTTACATTGTCATTAGATTAAAATTTGCTTGTATTCCATTAGTGTGAACTCTGAATATGTAAGATTACAGTAATATCACAAGTTTGAAAAGAACTATAATATGCCAAGATGTGGTATTGTTTCTGATGTTCTGTAGTAGTTATTTTTGTGTATCAGAAGGTTATTTTATGTAATTAAGCTATATAATTGTATTAATTACAGTGAATTAGACTATGATTCGAGTAGTTTACCCAGCAACACAAGTGATTTCTCAGCACCTAAACATATTTCATCTTCCCATAAATCAACTACTTCTATAGGTAATGTTTTCTATTATTCATCTTTTAAGACATATTTACGACTTAAAACTCCAAACCTTTTTTTTTCAAATACCGATAACTTATATTTAGTTATATTGATACTTGAAAGATGGTTTTCCTTATTTTTTAGTGTCAAATTAGACAAACTAATGATTTATCGTAAGCCAATCATAAATGTCCAGAAATGTACAGTCTGGATAAAAAAAAAGACTTTTTGACCTTTCTTGATGGGTCACTCATTGGAATTCTGGTGTTTCTCTTCTAATTTATCTGTTTATGAATGAATTGTGGAGAAGTGAGACTGGTATTTTTCCAAGTCATTAGAACATCTCTACTTTCTATTCATATAAGAATAAGCATTTTCATTTTCATAAATGAAAATAAGGGAACCCATCTTTAAGGACATGGTGTGATTTTATTAATTAACAATATATTCTTCAACGACTGTGAAATGTCTGCAAAAACCACTTGTCAATCTAATAAGACATCAATGGCTAATACAGCAAAATCAATATCAATGATTGTCATAGGATGAAGTCTGTAAATGTTAAGGCCATACAAAATAAATAGTCTGTTTTACAGGCCTTTTTTTTCCAAAATTGAGCGAGAGGGCGAATTTATTATTTATAAGCGCTTTTTTAGATTTTCTACTGGAATTAATCGGAGGGAGAGAAAGCATTTATTATTTATTACCACAAATTTAATGTACAATTAATATTAAGGCAACAATCAGTCATTTTTGGGCCTGTAAAACAGACTATTTATTTTGTATGGCCTAACTGATGATCATGATAATTGCAGCTCAAAGTATGCCAGTTGATGTACCTTCTACTAATGATATATATGGGTCATCATTAGATACTTTAGATGAAGATAGTGGTCTAGCATCATGTAAGTGGTTTTTTATACGCCAACATTATATATTGCATATTGTCGTCTGTCGATCTGTCCGTCCATCTGCAATTGGCTTGTGGAACACAATGGAGACTACACTTTTCATCCGATTTAAATGAAATTGGGTGTGAATATTTTTAATGATGAGATCTTGGAAAATGTTTGAATTTGGCTATCTTTCGATGAACGGTTTTTGAGCTATTGCCATTTACTAAGGAAATGAGCATACAAATTTATTTGTGAACACAATAAAGAGTACAGTTTTTGTCCTATCTAAATGAAATTTGGTGTGATCATTTAAATTTAATGATGAGATCTTGGTCAAGTTTGAATTGGACAATTTTGGATCAACAGAATTTGAATTATTACCCTTGACAGCAAAATTTGTTGGCTTGTGAACTTGATAGAGGTGACAGTTTATGCTAGAATTTTATTAGATTTTGTGTGTTTGATTAAATCAACAATATCTTGCACAAATTAGATTTTTGGTATGATTTGCCACAGATAGGTGACCGCCCTTGATATACTGAAAATGTATCAGGAAAGTGGGCGTATCTTGCTAGGAAACCACTTGTTATTTCTGTGGTCAAATATTAAGATGACTGAATTTTTTTGTAGTCTAATGTTGCAGTGATTACTGTTCTTGACTAAACTCTTTAGTGTCTTAAGGCGTGTTTTTTTTTTACTGTTTTCCATAATTAAAATATTTTGGTTATAGTATATACCAAATAACTTACATCGAGATTCTAGTGTTATATACTGTTTTACATAATTAGAATACTGAGTTTGTAGTTAATATTATACAACTTACATCGAGATTCTAGTGTTTTATACTGTTTTTCATAATTAGGATACTGAGTTTGTAGTATATATCATATAACTTACATCGAGATTCTAATTCTAGTGTTTTATACTGTTTTTCAAAATTAGAATACTGAGTTTGTAGTTAATATTATACAACTTACATCAAGATTCTAGTGTTTTATACTGTTTTTCATAATTAGGATACTGAGTTTGTAGTTAATATTATACAACTTACATCGAGATTCTAGTGTTTTATACTGTTTTTCATAATTAGGATACTGAGTTTGTAGTTAATATTATACAACTTACATCAAGATTCTAGTGTTTTATACTGTTTTTCATAATTAGGATACTGAGTTTGTAGTTAATATTATACAACTTACATCAAGATTCTAGTGTTTTATACTGTTTTTCATAATTAGAATACTGAGTTTGTAGTTAATATTATACAACTTACATCGAGATTCTAGTGTTTTATACTGTTTTTTATAATTAGGATACTGAGTTTGTAGTATATATCATATAACTTACATCGAGATTCTAATTCTAGTGTTTTATACTGTTTTTCAAAATTAGGATACTGAGTTTGTAGTTAATATTATACAACTTACATCAAGATTCTAGTGTTTTATACTGTTGTTCATAATTAGGATACTGAGTTTGTAGTTAATATTATACAACTTACATCGAGATTCTAGTGTTTTATACTGTTTTTCAAAATTAGGATACTGAGTTTGTAGTTAATATTATACAACTTACATCAAGATTCTAGTGTTTTATACTGTTTTTCAAAATTAGGATACTGAGTTTGTAGTTAATATTATACAACTTACATCGAGATTCTAGTGTTTTATACTGTTTTTCATAATTAGGATACTGAGTTTGTAGTTAATATTATACAACTTACATCAAGATTCTAGTGTTTTATACTGTTTTTCATAATTAGGATACTGAGTTTGTAGTTAATATTATACAACTTACATCGAGATTCTAGTGTTTTATACTGTTTTTCATAATTAGGATACTGAGTGTGTAGTTAATATTATACAACTTACATCGAGATTCTAGTGTTTTATACTGTTTTTCATAATTAGGATACTGAGTTTGTAGTTAATATTATACAACTTACATCAAGATTCTAGTGTTTTATACTGTTTTTCATAATTAGGATACTGAGTTTGTAGTTAATATTATATAACTTACATCGAGATTCTAGTGTTTTATACTTTTTTTTTATAATTAGGATACTGAGTTTGCAGTATATATCATATAACTTACATGTAAGTTATATGATATATACTGCAACCTATAAAAAGTTGCGAAAACTTCGGATATTAATGAGGAGCTAATCAACATATTTCTCCATTTGTGCTTATTTACTAAAAAGGCCTAGACTCCCAGCCGTAATAATAGGCACTCAGAATGCAGTATTGTGGATTTGGCTAAAATTGGTATAGACCAATTGCTTATGTTTATAATTATTAACATGTACAATTGTTTACTATAGTTACTTCTAGTGGAAGTTTATCTGCTCCTTTCCCGTCACCTAGCAACAACAGTGGAAGCAGTTATAATAGCTTACATAGGCGCTGGATGAGAACACAAACTACATCATTGGGTAGAAAATCTACAGAATATAAAATGTTAGATGTAAGTACTTTTATTTACTTTTTATCCAGTTAATTAGTTAGTAACAGTCTGTTGTGTTTCAAAGCAGTTTAAAGATATAACTTTTTTTGAAGGAAATAAGTATTTGAAGGTCATGGTTTGCCATTTTCAGGAAATGATAATTAGTAAATAGTAAATAGTTTTCGGAGGTACTAGAAATGTACGGAAATTGCAAGATTCGTTCAAAAATATCTCAAACTAAGAATTTCACTATCTATATCTATATAAGAGCTTAGGCCTTTACTATATGTGGCAATCTAAAAAAAAGACGTGTCGTGATTTTAACTTTCAAACACATGTATTTATAGGCTTAAATTTCAATGGTGAACTGTGAGCACTATCACAAAAAAATATGTTTCTTAGAGTAGAGTATGTTCAGTCAAAAGGTTAGTGAACCATGTCTTTTTAAAAGACTAGCAACCTCAATCCAGGATTCTTCACGAAATCTAAAGGCTTATTATAGATATTAACTTCACTTATGCTCTTTTTTTTTATCAGAAAAATCTACATGTCACAAAGAAAAGTAAGGTTGGAATAGCTGTACTTATAGAAACACCAGATGAAAAGGATGAAGAGGCTCACAGGTATGCTTTATACAATGATTTATATAATGACTTTACAATGAAAATATTGTAAATATATCATACTACTATTTCTTTATTCAAAATATTGACGTAAACATTTTATTTTTCAGATTATTTCAAGAGTTTTTCTTCTCCCATATTACTTTATTTGAAAGTCATATAAATAAACTACAGAGTGTGGTTACTAAGGCTTATTTTGATGCTAGAAATTTTGTACCATTGGTGATGGAGGTAAGAATATTTAGACATCCATATAGTGTTAAAAAGAATTGTAAAATTGTTTGTGTCAAATGTGTACTTTCATTGGTACTGGTGAGTCTAAGTCTTCCATATTGCTATAATAATACCTTGCAAGTCATGAAATTGTTTGAATACAGCTTGAGGTTGACATCTGATATGTATGCACTGATAAACATCCTGTAATCTGATCTTGTTTCAGGCACTAGAAGTGTTACGGAACAGTATATATGATTTATACATGGCACCACGCCTGTCAGAACCAGTCTGGTTAAATATGATGTCTTATAGTACCAATAGATATGCTTTATGTAAAGATTTTATGAATGACTTTATGTCTTTAGCTGCTAAATATGACAATAAAAATACCAAATTGTAAGTAGTCTATTCTATATTGCTCAAGAACTTTACATTTCATTGAATACTTAACTATTGTGTAATATATTCAATATCTACATGATATATTACCCATAAGTGATAAAATATGGCTTGAAATATAACTGTATGTTTGAATTTTTGTCTTTCAGTTTTGTGTCAACATTGATATCAGCAGTGTTAACACATCACTTAGCATGGGTTCCAACTGTTACTCCAGCTGGTGGTACTCTATCTTCTACGTATGAAGAAAAACATTCAGCAAAATGGGTTTGTATTATCCACATTGTTCCCAAATATATTATTTAAACAGATAGTTAAGGTTTCATCTTATAATCTGAAAGAGTTTTGTTTCAGTTACTTGTAGTGTTTTCAGAATGAGAATCAAATTTTGCTTTTACCTGCAATAACTAATATCACAATATAGATTACTTCTCAAGACAAATTTTTACTTTATCCTTAAAGTTATTATTGCTCTAAGATTCTTGTGGCAGCTGTGTTAAAAATCATGGTGTAATAATTTTGTACATGATACAGATCTGTTTTGCAATGATTATTTATTTTTCAGTTAAATGATTTAGCTAAAGTTCATCCTTACAATCCCCTATGGGCACAATTAGGGTAAGTTGAACATATTGTTACAATTTTTTTGTAATGTTCAGCAAAATATTTTTCTTTCTGATTGATATGGTTTAGATTCATATGTGTAAAAAAACAATTATTGAAAGTATTTCATTTTCATTTTTCAGTGATTTATATGGTGCAATAGGAAATCCATTAAAAGTAGCACGAACTATAGTTGTGGGGAAAAATACAGACTTGGTGAAAAAGTTTCTTGTCATATTAAGTTATTTTATACGATGTAGTGATATCCATGAATGTGTTGATAGTAACAGTTTAAAAAGCTTTATATCTGATATTAAATATGATTCTCCTCCTACGCCCTCTGGTGGATCAGGAATTTTAACGCCAGCTGAAGATTCTAATTCAAATTGTAGCTCTAGTCTTGTTTCTACCAGTCATAGACTTCTGACTAGTACGCCAAGTTTAGATTTGAGTAGTTTAGAGAATGTTACCAATGAGGTAGATATGTTTGAAGTTAAGGATAAAAACAATCAGTCAGTTATTGATAATCTTAGTGATCCTTATAAAGAAAATTTACCAGCCAGTGATCTCAATTCTTGTGATAGTGGTTTACAGTGTAGTGTTTCCGCTTTAAAAGTGAATGAAAACAGTAGAATAGAAAATGTTCAACTTGTGAATAGATCAGTGAGTAGGGAAGTTTCTATAGAAGATATTAATTTAATTAGCTCCTCAAATAAACTTAAATCAAAACTATCTCAACAGTTGGAATCCGAAAAAACATTGAGTAAAAAGGAAATCAAGAAACTCTTCCTAAAAGAAGGTAGTAATAGTATGTTTGAGGAATATTTTGATGCAGGAATAGAAACTAAAACTATTGATGAGGTGGCAGAAGGTGATCGTGTTATACAACTCCCTCTTGTGTCACCCAGCTGTGCTGAATTAGACTCTATTAATTTTAAAAAAGACAAGAAAGTGGTATCAAGACATAATAGTGTTGACAGAAGTAAACTTAGTAGACCAACTTCTCTAGTTCCAGGCAGGTGTAGGTAAGAGAATTTTATGTTATCTTTTTTACCTCTTACTCTTGCAAGCATGGGTTCAAAGTTGAGAGGTATAATTGATAATAATGAAGATAAGAGAGATGAAAAGGGCAATGGTAATGGCTGAAAATGTAGTTGACATCTATTCCTTTTTTACACTGAAATTCCTTGTACTAATAATAATGATAATACGTGTATTTCAGGTCTGTAACTCCAACTGAATTGAGTAGAAGACGACATCTATCATCTGCTGGCAGTGTAGAATTTGATCCTTTTGATCCTGTTGTTGATTGTAAAGAAATACCTCTTCCTGGGTAGGTATTAAACCTTTTCAAACATAATAATATAAATAACATCATAAGAGTATGAAACACAATAAAAATGGTGACTTCAAAATTATTAGATTATGATTCTCTTTCAGACAAGATGTTGAACTTACATCAAGAAGTGTTCATGGCTTAGAGAGAAATTTTGGTAGAAGTTTATTGGGTGGTATATCTGATCATTATTTATCAGACTTTGTACTACATGGTACTAAAGATACCAATCTATATAGTAAATTATTACATGATTTACAGCTAGATGTACAACAATCTGTTATTGATGAAGAAATATCAGAAACTGTTTGTATTATAGCTGATGTTGATAATTGGTAAGTAGAAATATTAAACATATTATTAATCTAAATTAACGGTTACTCTTGTCAAGCTAGTCCAGTCCAAAATTAATTCTATTGACTTTTATCCCCATTCACCAAATTTTTACCAGAATATTAAGACATATTTTAATTTTTAAGTTTTTGTAAGAAAAATAATTGTTTTATAAAAATATTATTGTGACTACCTGACTAATTCTGATTAAATATTATGTTTTGCTAGGAATGTAGAAATAGCCAGTAGTAATTTGATAGAGAAGTATCCTACAGGCAGTACACCTTGTGTAGCTTCACAGATAGTCTGTAATCTGGTAGAATCAGTTCTTGATTTATGGAAATTAAAAATGAGTCCTGAATTTGTATGTGTATATTAATTCTTATTTTGTAATATTGAGTGGTAAATCTATAAACACTAGCTCAGTGAGCATGTGAAGGCTTCGGTCTTATACTCGGCAATAAGGCTTTTAGTTTTACAAAGAAAACATTAAATGTAATATCCTGTGTTTTCAAGCCAGTTGTTTTGTCCCATATATTTTTTTAGAGATCATGCTGTACTTCCTGATATTCTTAAAGGGTTTCTCCATTTTGGGGAGTACAATTGGAAGAAACAAATGGTTCAGAAAAGGAAGTTTTCATGAAAAGGCAACCTCATTACACCATGATGGTTTTGTGTCTTGTACATAGGGTCACTTAAAGAATCCAATATGAATATTGTGAATATTTTAGTGTATGATGCATCTGGAAGATAGATTACAAGAAATATATTTTAAAAGTTTAATGGTAGCTGAATATAGGGTTGGTGTAGAGAGAACAAATGTCAAAGATTTAACTACAACGTTAGGGTAAGGACAAGTAGTGCTCATTATTTCTTGTGTAAATGAGCATAACATTCTGCCAAGAAAAGGTTAGAAAAACTAGTTAAAACAATGCCTGGAAAGGCAAATCACAATTATATGCAGACCAATTTTTTGTTATATGCCATTTGTTTTCTATTATTTCTCTTTGTACTTAATAATAGAAATTTTGTTCACAATTTTTTACCATCACAATTGACCTATTGTGCTTTTTTACTTTTAGATTTGATTTAAGTGATTATCATTTATTGATGGCAGTAGCAGCAACACATTCACCTCATTTGATATTACAGCCAACAACTCTGTGAACTCAGTTCAAAATATCTAGAAAACCTCTTCCAGAATTTGTTGAAATAATTTCTTTTAAAATTTTAATCATTGTGATAGGCTGATTTTCAGCCATTCTGTGAAATGTAGTCAAAAGAGTAAATCCTGTTAGAAGATGATTTATGTATTAGCATTAAATGTAAATGTAAAATGGAGTGTGTTATAAGAATAGATCTGATATGGGGATATTTATTTATATTTATTGTGGTCTATCACAGGTCTGAAATTCAATAACTGTTCATTGTTTCTTTTTTGTGTTTAATTAATGTTCTGTCTATCTGCATTTCTTTGTTTTGTCTGTTATCTTATTCTCTTTCTAAAGGAGTGATGTTAAACTTATAGGTATATATAATTTTCTTGCATAATTTATTATTTGTCATTTATATATTGTTACATGTTAAAAATCATTATCAATGCAATATTGAAAGAGAAACAAGGAGATTGAACTCTTATACATATGTAATGAATATTATGGTATTTGTTACTCAAACTTTACAAATGGGCTTCCTTGCAGTCTTCATGTTCAATTTATCTGATAATTTTTATTTATCACTTAAAATAGATTTATCTCCCTTGTTTCTCATTTCTCTCCTATCCAAGTGTCTTCAATGAGGTTTTGTTTTCTGATAGAATTGGCCATAATGTGATTAAGTAACGTATATCTTGTCGTTTTATGTAAGGGTTGGATTGTTTGAAAGATTATTTAGACTTTCACCTAAATAATTGAGCAAAGTTATCTATGACTATCTGGTACAATGCAAAACACATGCACTCTACTTTAATAAGGTGTAAGTAGTCTTGAAATTACATAGACTGCAGAAGAAATGATTGGAAAATCTATTATAGAGATTGTCAGATATTATAAATAATTCGTGAATCTAAAGTCATATTACAAAACAAAAAGCATTCATAGAGTTAATTCTGATGATTAGGAATCTAATTTGATTATGGTTAATTTAAAGAATATTGTCAACTTGCCAATGACCATCTTTAGTTTCATTCTTTTTCTGGTATCTTAATGTTAGTCCAGCTAAAATACATGATAATATGTCAAATAATGTGTACCATTGTTAATTTATTAAAATATTTGAAAAATTAACCCGTTTTTTTTTTGTCAAAACATGACAGTTTTTTTTCCTCAAATCTTCAGATCTAAAGTAAATTACACTATAATTTAAAAAGTAGGTAGATCTGTAACAGATTCCTCTACTGAAACATTTTCAAGAAAAAAAATAACTAGAACAGCTACTTTCAAAGTATTTGAAAACAGGGTTTTGGTGAGTGACTCTGAAGAAGTCTTTTTCCACATAATTCCTAAGCAAGATAGCTTGCCAGGCAAGGTAATATACACCCACTACCAGCTGTCAGAAATAATAATAATCTTTAGTGGCTTAATAATAAATTTTCAAATAATCTTAAAATCATCTATAAGTCAAGGTGAAAATCTTCAACAGTTCATAAAGTTATCAAATTCAAACATGAACAATGTTTCATAGCTGTACACACAAGGGCAATAACTCTGAAACTGTTCATCCGATTATTACCAATTTCTAACTTGACCAAGATCTCATCATGCATATCTAGTTCCATCAAGATTGGATAAAAACTGTCTCTATCATGCCTGCGAACCGAATTTGACAAGTTTTTAATCAGTCAAGGGCTATAACTCCAAAACCTTTCATCCGATTGTTACCAATTACAAACTGGACTGAGATTTCATCAACATATACATGCATACCTAGTTTCATCAAGGTACATGTAGGTGTATAAAAATACCAGCATATAAATGAAGTTTTGAAAAACTTATTGAATTCGTTTTGTTGTAATTTTAGGCAAGGTAGTAGTTTCTAGTTGAGAATCTTCTGTAGGTGTTCTAATACTGAACACTATGGGTATATTAATCAGGTTAGGGTTGTTTTCCTGTAGATATTTCACCCATGTCATCACAGAGTTTTTGGAAGCAGTACCAGTTATACACATTCCTAATATTGTACCATCCTCTTGTTCATGTATCCCAATTTCATTAGTTATCATAGTTGATTGTTCTTCCTCGAATATTGTTTCCCATTCAAATAGTTCTAAATGGTAAAGAGGAATTGTTTAATAGTATTTAATAGTCCTTCTATGAGAAGTAAATACATGTATTGTGGAAGAATTAATATATTGTATGTACATATAATTATCTAGAATTTATTTCTTCTGAATGCCTGTTTGAGAAAATCTTACCAATTACATTATGGGTAAGGGTTTTAGGGCTACTTTCACAGTCTGTTAACTATTTAAGAATAGAAAATGTAGACCTACCTTGGTCTGCTTCTGCCTTTTTCCTTTCAAAATTTATAGGCTGAGGATCAGCTCTGAGTACAAAATACTGCTGACTAATATGTCTCAACCAAGTAGTGTAATAGCCTTCAACAAACAATGGTTTACTAATGGGATGTTTTGATATTAATTCCTGTTGATCAGGACTCATTGCACTAGCAATAAAGGTATTTTGAGTTGCCTCTTCTTCCTTATCATGTGTCTGCAAAAGATACATGATAATACAATATACCAAATTTAACCAACCACATATTCACTAACTATCCACCTGAACATCTGAAAATATAAAAAGTTTCATAAAAAAATAAATCCTCACCTCCCAAACAGTTATTTTATTGTGATAATCTATACACATTCTGTTTAAAGCTAGTTTAGCTAATTCTATTCTACAATCAGGAAAAGTATCTGGTACAGGGTAAGGATTGGCATTTTTTATCTTGGGTAGCCAATATGCCATTCGTTGATATTTTCTGAAGACATGAGATGTTTCACCAAATCTATCATACAGCAGGTCTCCAAATTGTTGATCTGGTATAATGCCTGTAATTATGTAAAAGATTTGATATTGTGGTGAATATTACAGCATCTAAGCTTAATTCACAACCAACATCAGACCAAATCTCATCAGAGTCAAATTTCACTCATCCGATGACAATTCATCTGGCCAAGATGCCATTTGACATTTCACCTTAATGAGTTGATTGAGCCGAGTAAATTGAATTAGTGTGATTAAAGGGATAAGAAACTGACAGAAATCAATCAAGCTTTGTGAAATTATAATGCTCTGCATTTATACAAAAAAGTAAAGTGGGATCCAAACATTCAAAAATTTCAAAAGTGAAAGAAACTTACCATTTCGTTCCATCTGTTCCATAATATCAATCCCACATTGCTGTTGTTTCGGATAATGCATCATTTCACTCTGCCACGAAGATAATGGCTTCATTTTATCTTTTGGAAAAACTGATATTAAAACTTTATATGACATCAAATCTCTATGTGCATCATACTTTTTCATCTGTTTTAAGGCTGAGTTAATAAATTCCACACTACCCCTTCTATACAGTGACTCTTTCTTTAAATATATATCTACAGCCTTTCGAAAGTCTTTTTTATCCACTTTATCTTGTTTATTTGCTATTTCATCAAACACACTCAGAGACTCAAACTTTTGAATTTTGTTCACATCTGAAGATTCCCTATCACAGGCTTTGATTGTAAAATGAAGCTCTCTTCCATTCAAGATATAGTTAAGAGGCAAGTTTCTGCAACTGCAAACTTTTTCCTGATTTCGCCATATAGAGGATAGTAATCTGCTTACATTCATCTTGATGTCTGAAAAAAAAATAGAGTTGATATAATTATTGTTCATCAACTTAGAATTCTAAGTCTTTGAGGATTGCATCTGAAAATTGAATTATTTTGTTACATTACTATGGATTCACCTACCGGTACCGAACTAGACTCAAACATCTGCCTTTATTCCAGCCCTTGGACATGGACAGTGTTGTCGGCTGGTGTAGAGACAGAAAAACTAGGCCTGATTTTCCTCATTTCCATAGGAGTTTTAAACTTATTCATTCAAATCGGATCCTCAAACCCAAATATTTTTCGGAAAGATGGATATTTGTCCTGTTCAGCAATATATCATTCATTATTTCCCTTAACCATTTAGGTCACGGATGTGGTTCAGAATTTAGACATTTAAGTCTGAGTGCTCATACAAAAGTTCAAGGGGTCACAGGGTCACATGATACTAACAAAATGATAGTGATGCTCAACACTTGCGCGACCTCCGCATTAGTTTGTTTTGATAAACATGGGTTTTCTGTACAATATCAGCTAGTAGAATGAATTCAGTAGTTTCAAGCAAGGTAAAATGTATTAATGTATACTTTGACAAATACAAAATGGCTGATTTCATTTATTACCAAACCATTTTTTATCGGCCCAATTTTCTTATAATCCCAAGCGGTAATCGGAATTCCAAGTGTAGTCTGCTAGAATGTAGTCCAACGAATGAAGTCACGTGATCAACTAGCGGATTCTGTGTCAGCAGAAAATTTCTATGGAACACAAAGTGGACCATATTCTTATGTTGTTTCAGTGACTTTAAGCAATAAATCACGCTACGTATCTTATTTTGTCAGTCACTATTTTTTTTTAAAACCGTGGTTCTTTGAAGGAATTGTCACTAGTTATAATGAATTGATATTATTGATAAATATTAAGAGAAGTTAATTATACCCCGGTATCCATACAACGTGTTTTTCTAGACTTATTTATAGATCAAACATTGTACACGGAAATAGGTGACGTATTCTGCCGCTCATGAGTTGGTTGCTCATGAAATATGGGTCAAAGTGAAGGATTCATAAAGAAAATCGAAATAAACCAATTTTAATTATTTTGTAGAATATCTGAGGAAACATCTAAGACCTAAAAAAATTTTTTTATTTTTTTTACTTTGACGAAATTCGGTGTTGAATCCTTATATCCACGAAAATAGGTTACACCACTGTAATATCGTTACGACGTTATGTAAGATTGGAAGTCTTATTTAGTCAGTAGCAACATAGATTATAGTTAAAGAACTGTATACTCATACTGTATACATACATAGAATTCTAATATGCCATAATAAATTATGGTGGCAGTAATTCAGGGCAATCAAGTAAATCAAGGCTTACATTTTACAAAATATTTTTCTAGGCTATATAAAAAAATTCGTCATCATCCAAATGATAACTTATTGACAAGTTAATACCAAACACGCCTTAAGACACTAAAGAGTTTAGTCAAGAACAGTAATCACTGCAACATTAGACTACAAAAAAATTCAGTCATCTTAATATTTGACCACAGAAATAACAAGTGGTTGCCTAGCAAGATACGCCCACTTTCCTGATACATTTTCAGTATATCAATGGCAGTCACCTATCTGTGTCAAATCATACCAAAAATCTAATTTGTGCAAGATATTGTTGATTTAAACAAAGACACAGTATTTAATAAAATTCTGACATAAACTGTCACCTCTATCGCCAACAAATTTTGATGAGTTTTTACTAAGTCATGGGCAATAACTCAAATTCTGTTGATCGAAAAATTCAAACTTGACTAAGATTTCATCATTATCAAATTTCCTTTAAATCGGATGAAAACTGTACTCTCTATCGTGTTCACAAACAAATTTTGAAGCGTTTTTCATACGTCAAGGGCAATAACTCAAAAACCGTTCATCGAAAAATTGTGAATATCGAACCTGTCCAAGATCTCATCAATATAAATGATCACACTAAATTTCATTCGAATCAGATGAAAACTGTAGTCTCTATCGCGTTCACAAACTAGTTGTGGACGGACGGACCGACCAACGGACGGACATGGGTGACGACAATATACGTCCACATTATAATGTGGGCGTATGAAAAGTGTGCTTATATAGTATAGTATAGTGTTCAGAACATCTGTATATCACAAATCAAAAAATCATCTTATATCTGGCGAATTTTGTCAAACTTTTTCAAGCAAATTGGTTATCAGCACTGAGTAGAGATAACTACGAAAGCCGGGTCAGGACTTCCAACTTCCGACTTCATAGATTTTCCCCCAGCAAGCTGGTAATTAAGCCTACGCTTTTGTGATCATATCCAATGTGGCCAGTCAACACGATAGAAGTCACAGTTGTCATCTCAATAAAATTTGGTTAAATTTATATCTAAGAGTCCTTAAGCACGTTCAAATTAAGGTATGATTCAACAGAGGATAACAGAGTTTCACAACTGGTCCGCTATGCTAGAGCTTGTTCTCTTTATAAAGGCTTTCTGGCAAGAGGTCGCATATTAACCGTGAAATTACTGAAACAGGAATACTTGACACAACAAGTGGTTGCCTAGCAAGATACGCCCACTTTCCTGATCCATTTTCAGTGTATCAAGGGCGGTCACCAATCTGTGTCAAATCATACCAAAAATCTCATTTGTGCAAGATATAGTTGATTTAATCAAACACAAAATATTCAATAAAATTTCTGACATAAACTATCGCTTTAACAAGCCAACGAATTTTGATGCGTTTTTACTAAGTAATGGGCAATGACTCAAATTCCGTTCATCGAAAGATCGTCAAATTTGAATTTGTCCAAGAATTCATTAATATAAATGATCACACCAAATTTCATTAAAATCAGATAACACGCCAATTGTGGATCGACGGACGGACAGAAGTTACGACAATATACGACCACATTATATGTCATGGTGTACCATGAATATCGAACTTGTCCAAAATCTCATCTATATATAAATGATCACACCAAATTTCATTCGAATCAGATGAAAACTGTAGTCTCTATTGCGTTCACAAGTCAATTTCAATTCGTTTAGGCTAAGTCAAGGGCAATAACTCAAAAGCCATTCATCGAAAAATCGTGAATATCGAACTTGTCCAAGATCTCATCAATATAAATGATCACACCAAATTTCATTCGAATCAGATGAAAACTGTAGTCTTAATTACCAGCTCGCTGGAGGAAAAAAATTGGAAGTCCGAAGTAAAAACTTGGAAATCGGAAGTCGGAAGTGAAAAAAAACCTGGAAGTCGGAAGTAGAAAGTGAAAAAAAAAAACTTGGAAGTCGAAAGTTGGAAGTCCTGGCCCGGCTTTCGTAGATAACAGAATATAATGAAGTGTATGTGAAATGAACAGATTATAGCCTTTTTTAAAGAAAAAAAAAATTCATTATATATATATGGGTAGTTTGAAAATATTTACTACTGATTGATGCATTTTGTGGATATTTTCAAAAACTCTGAAACAATCTATAGGCCTATCTCTTTTTTATTTGTATGAATTAATTAACCTAACCCTGCCTGTCTCCTAATATGTTAAAGTACGCGCCTCGAAACAAAAAGCGCATTGACAAGCAAGATATATATACGCCCGCTTATTCAATTCATTTTCAGTGTTGCAACACGTGTTAAAAAGTTCGAGTTTTCGACCTCCCCGCCACATTCCAAATGTCGCTGGTTTGTTGGGGGTGGACCCCCAGAAAAGAGGTTGGCCCTAGTTTGGCCCCATCACTTTCATTTTTTTTATCATTCTACATAGTGATAAAATGACCTGTGGCCCCCCTCGAACATTTTGTGACCCCTGCTCTTCCCCTCATCTGATGTTCCTAGAAAAGTCACTGGTCATCTCTCCATAATGGAGGTGGTTTAAGAGTTTCCATTCAACCAGATAGCAATGACAAATGGTAACCTTACTCAGAGAACGCACCAAGGAATGGTATTTCAACCCCCTTCCATTAACTGTATTATTATTTTTTACCGCTGTTTTGAAGTCGGATCAAGGTATGTGAAACTCAAGAATTAGTCATTTCTTATTGTCGGTAGGTTAATCTAATCCAATTGACTTTTGTATATAAAAAGTCACTGTTTAGAAAATATAATATTATCAGCTGGTGTGGGACGTAGTTAAATTGATTTCCTATGTATTTATTACTTTAGTTAAATTCTATTATTGATATTCTTTTATGGTATTCTTTTGTTATAAAGTCAGGAACCTTTTATTCGAAGTGATACTTTTATTTGTCAATTGTTAAGTGGTCAACAGTCCTTTAATCTCTGTACCGACCGGAACTTATTAATTAGCAATTAGCAATTACTGATATTTAAACATTTCACTACATGTACATAGAGTATTTCAATTCAGTATATAGGCTATAACTATTTGATATGATAATGATAATGTTGACATTACAAGAAAAGACTTGGTAACTCAACCTTACTTGATCGTAAAGAGGTTTTCTATAATTTTATGTGTATAGAGGCCAGTACATTCCTGGGAGCTGCGGTGGCTCAGTGAGTTAGACGCTTGCTCGCTTACCTGAAGGTCCAGGGTTCAATCCCGGCATAGGTCGAGATAATACCTTCGGATTTTTCAACCCGGTTTTCCCCTGTCAGTGATGCAGGTACGAGGGACTGATATGGAAAAAGCGTCTAGTCGTTCGGATGGGACAATAAACCGAGTCCCCGTGTGCTACAGGCTGTGCACGTTAAAGATCCCTCGACAGTTGGAAATCGAAAAGAGCAGGCTAATGCCGCTGTCCTGGCAAAATTTCGCTCATT